AGCAGGTCAATTGCATAAATTGCGGTCGCGTGTTCTTTCTCCTGAGCCACTTCGATTTGTTTGAATTTGTCTTGCGTTTCTCTTGTTAAGGATTCTCTATATTACTAGAGCAACCAAAGGCTATCACTTCGACTTGACTGTCCGTTTCAGACACTGGTCGCTAACGTCAACCTTCAGCCACCAGGTCGCTAAGGTCAACTTATTTGGGCTGTAGTTTTGACTTTTGCCTGCTTCACCTTACTACAGTTTTTGGAGATAGCTTTGTAACAACCTGCTGCATATTAGTTGCTGGTCTAAAGCCTGCTCCATAAATGTTCTCACAATATATGTTGCGCGAGCTGTCAAATTGTTTTCATCCTGATCTGCTGATATCTCCAGGAACTTATTGATTAGTGACTTTGAAATTAGAGCTAGGTTTCCAAATCGTTCAGTCAGCTTTTCATACTATTGCACAAAGACTTTTTTTTTGGACGTTCAGGGGCTAACAATTTTCGCGGCACGCCATATGCATCTGCTACGATAAACGCTAGAAACGTAGCAACTTTGTAATCCGCCTTGACATAATTCGCCGCAAAATACAATTCCACTCTTTCAATACAACTTGTAATATCTTCTTTACCGTCCACATACTCTCCAACGTGACCTACAGTACAAGCGCCATCCTCGTCGCCAAAATTGTAATATTCTGGTCTTAAACAAGAACACGAAACGAACCATTTGCTAGTCATTCTTTTAATGCAACTGCGCATGTGCAAAACCTGCCCTAAAATATAAGAGGTCTGGGACCTAACACATTACTCAATCCAGATGCAATGCTGGATTCTGATTCTGCTATTGTATCATGTGAAACGATTATGCAGATAAAGGAGGGTGTTACGATTCGCCGTCCCTTTGATGGGTATCATGACAGAGTTGCTGTCTGGCACCTAGCAATAAATAGCCCCACGCGAGTAGAAATTTCAGCTATAATTTACACTATAATTATTTCAAAAACAGAAGTAAACTTTACCCTCCAATTGCCCTTTCCTTTTAAAAGGAAATTTCAAGTGCACGTATTTATGGAATTCGCTGTCCACCTGTTTTGGTAGAGTACGACTTTTCCTACCTTATTCACAGAACTGAAGGCGGATGATTTAAAACAATAGCAACAACAAAAATATCAAAAAGTCATGCACGAACATGTAATTTCAGACCCTGCATCTAAACGGCGCAAAACCTTTCCCTGTTTCAGACCCAAACGGTTTTAAACAATTCGCTTACAAAGGGAGTAGCCTCTCACCGAAACAAATGGGCTATGATGTCATGGTTTGCTGGTTTATTTTGATAATATTGCCAAATATGTCCTTACGGTATTCTCAATGGAACTCAGCGTAAGTTAAGAAATCACTTGCAAATGACAAAATCACTGCTTCATGTCAAACACATTTGTTCCCCAGACATCATATGAAAAGTTAAAGGCAAAAAAAAAAGAATTTTGAAAAACTTTTAGGCTATTTGAGCTTTCAAAAACCTCAATGTTAACGTAGTAAAAGAACTATTCAAGGAATTTTTATATTTAATCTTGCTGGAAAAAATAGGAAAATGTAAACGCCGAACAGGAAGCACAAAAGTACCCGCTTTGTTCGAGTTTTTATAAGTTTTTTACCGACCGCCGCACTGCAAGGATCAAAGTGTTAACAGTTTACCTGCTACCCGGACCGATTTAATGCTTATTCGAGGACATTTAAGAAAACTCACTATAGAAGTAAGTGAACTTATGTTACCTTCGTTTTGTTAATTTAGTCTTTCTTTCGTTACCTTTTAAACAGAATTGAAGTAGCTTAAATTGAGTTTGTTTCCTTCAAGAACCACGTGACTTCGCTTGTATCAACTTTTAGCTTTTATCTGTATTCATTCCGCTTTTTCTAGTTTCGTGAATCAATTATTTGATTACACTTATTAAATAAAATATATTTGTACAATTTGATTTCAGATCGAATAAAATTACTGTTTTATAATTGCGAGTTATTCTTTGGATTGGATTCTCCGTTTTCTAATGAAAAAAATCAGTTGCTATCAGTTCCAATTTTTCAAGCTTGTCCTCACATGACATGACTCCTTTTGCAATCGCTGTGTTACTGTTTTGAGCCCGAGGGGGGGTGGGGGGAGTACTTCCTTATAAGAGGCTAATGGGGATGTGCCGCTGGATGGGGTCCCATTTTCAAGACTGGATTGAATAAAATGGGATAGCACATTTTCCGATTTTGGGGGGGTAAGACAGTTCTCTACATTTACGGTTAGCAAACGTACCAGAATGTTTGTACTGCAGATGAAAAGTAAAGTGTTCTTCATTCCATCTGAAAAATGGGTCAATTCATAAAAGTAGAAAGTGACTAAGTTGGGATCGCGAAAATTACATATTTGCCCAAAAGTGACTAAGATGGGATCTATAATTGGCCACAGAATAGACTATAATGGGGTATAGGCTCTGAGAGGCCAGCGGCACGTACCCAACAAAACTTTTTAGTACCCAAGTATCGGGGTTTTGAGCGGTTATTTTAATGTTTGACTCAATCTGGTGCCGTTTTCCACTTTTTGAATTTTGATAAATTTCGTGACACAATACCTTTAGATATCAGAGGAGTATCAGTGCCTTCTTCTGAAGGAGGAAATACTTTCAGCTGGATAATTGAAGACCTGGAAAAGTTGGGGTAGTCACGGTCGCAGAGCCACTGACATTTATACTTTCCTTCGTCTGCTTCAGTAACGTTAATAATGGTGAGAATGAAATCTGTTTTGCATCTGGTGTTGGTTTTCCTTTCTTGTATATTATACTTTTCACCAGATTCTAATTTCGCTGAGTTGTTATTAAAATACCAACGTAAAGAATTGTCCCAACAGTCGCTTGGCCTAACACCTACTTCGCACTCTAAAGTGGCATTGGAGTAGGCTGTCACCGGAACCTCGGGAGAAGAAATCTGCGGAGCCTGGATGATACCTGTATTAGATGATAAGAAGATATGATGAGTAAATGTTATTTGAAAATGGTTACCATTTTTGTGCAACCGTAAGGGGTAACCTTCTTACTCTTACCCTCCCCTCCTGAGTATTTGTGACAATATATAGGGCATCAAAACGCTTTGGAGTTTTTACGTGTTGATTTTGTTTATCCCACTGGTTCCCCCTTTTGCGACTTGTCTCGTCAGGCCGACTTTAGCGATGCTCTAACGATCGGTTGATCGGATGAACTCCACTTCTCTTACCTCCCACCAATATGGCCTGTGCTACTAAGCAGGGGCACCCAACGAGAATATAGTTCAAAACCGCTTAAACATAGCGTTGTTAAAAGTATTTTCGTATTTAAACGGTAGATATAGGCATATTTTTATCTCCTAAAAATTTTTCATCTGTTCGGACTTCCTAGCTGAAAGTCTAGCGATCCGAAAATTGTAGGGATCAAAACTTACCTTTTCGAAAATTTCAGCCAGAAAAAAGGCTCCCGAAAATTCTAGGTGACCTTTTTAGTGCAAAAATCCGTTAAAAATGGGCATTTTTACCCATTTTAAGATGTTCGAAAATCCTAGGAGAAGCAGGCTAGCAAGAAATTTTACAAAAGATGTTCCGAAAATTCTAGATCTCAAATCGTCTAGTCTTCCCAACAGATATTTTCCGAAAATTGACTTTGGGTGCCTCTGACTAAGTGTTGACTTCAATAGCTATTCGGCGTCTCCTTTTCTCATTTAACAACCACACAACAGTTTAAATTGGAATCTTGATGTAACGAACAGCTGAACGAAGACCTGAAGGACTGGCAAAATATGCTCGCCATAAAGAGGTTTTGTTATATCGAAGTTCCTTTTATTTATTGTACAGTCAAATCCCGCTCCAGTCTGGAAACCCGCTCAATACAGACGGTTTGCTTTGTCCCTGGGGAAAGAAAGCCCTTACATTTTCTACCCGCTTAATAAGGTCACCCCGTTAATACAGGCACTTTCTTAGTACGGCCCCTTCAGTGTCGGGATTTGCGGGGCTTGACAGTATTTTTTTCTGGGGAGGAGAATATCGCTTATTATTAAAAATTGAATCATTGGATAATGCAATTCTAGAGCTCTGATTGGCTTAGCCATCATGGTATATGAGCCGTTATACCATGCTCTATAATATGGTAACTATACGCGTCTGCTCAAAATTAAAAACAAGATGAAAATGGTTTGGTTTACAAATAAAGTCGGGAAGAATTCTCCATATTTTGTGTTCGTTTTTAATAGAATAATTATTCCACACGCACTTCGTTCTTGGATATGAGATGATTAAAGCCAACTCGGTGCTACGCGTCACTCGTGGAATAAGTGGAATAATTGTGAATTATACCGAGGACTTCGTTAAATAGAGGTTCTACTGAATTTCAGGTGAGAACACTCCCCTGTCATTAATGACTGTCCTGTGCTTGATCTTCAGGCAACATCATATGTGGCCGGCCACCGGGTTTAGTTTTGTTGCTTCTCACCCTTATTCCGCCATTGCCACCAAAACAACACATCACTCCCACGTTAATCCCGCCAGCTGCGCAGGGTAAATTTGAGCCAGAATGGCAGACAAAGAACCACTTTGTGGATGAGCTAGCGTCACTAAATCGTTATTTATTTATTTACTTATTTACTTATCCCTTGTACCCGAGGGGTAAACAAACAAAAATTCCAGCGTCCATTTATTCTGAATGGAGGAGGAAGGTGGCACGAAATTTTCAGTTGTATTTTTTTAAATGCAGTTAGGAATAAGTTAATCTGTTATTTTAAATATGAAACACCCAATATTTAATTCCGTCTAAATGAAGAGACAATGAGCTGTCCCTCTTAGTCTTAATGGGATACTTTCCATTGCTTACAGGGGAAACATGGTATTATGTTTTTTATGAACCTGCTTCAAAGGAGGTAGTTTTGCGAATCCGTGTGTTGTATTAGAAATAAGAAATTAAATGACTCACAGCGATAATTCAGGTCAATATACCCTGATTTTTTACTCGACCAGTTGGTAATGTTGTTCATTCCAGTGCATTTATAAGCCCCTCGGTGTTTTTCTTGGATATCAGCATTACGGAGAAGGGAAATTAAGGTATCCTCTCGATCCAGCTGCTCTGAGATGTAAAAACCTTCAGATCCGTTGATGATTTGTTTGTTACTTGGATTGTACCAAACTACACGAGGACGAGGCCATCCCTTGAAGGTACACTTCAGTTCCATTTCTCTCGTGTCAGGATAGTAGTCAACGGGAGAACTTGTCTTAGATACTCTCTTAACTGGAACTGAGAAGGAATTCTTCGTCTTAATTTCAAAGCTCGTAAGTCATGCACCCAGTCATTTAAACTAGGGAGCTTAAGTGACTAACTCGAAAGCCTAAGCTCCTTTGGCCACTGCGCAGATTTCACCTTTGATCAGGATGTATGTAATTTGCTGGTTTTCTTCTCGTTGTTTTTGTGATATATTTGTAATTTTTAAAGCAACCTCTTAAATTAGTACAAAAAAATATCAAAATCTGAACCACCACGACCACCAATTGGTTTTAACATGAAAACAACAGTTGCTGCACATGCGTCACGCTTCTTAGTCTATTCTTTGACGTTGACCGCACGACTATGAAGTGAAACCTAGTAATACAACGTTTTATAGAGAAAGTGAACATATGACGACGAATTCTCCTTTTTCTTTCTGATCCTGAATATAGTCCATAAGAATTCAACTCTAAGACAAAACTGCCTACATTTGACAAATTAAGCAGCTCCAAATAGACGCGATAACATTTGAAATATGGCAAATTTAATTTTTTAGCGACATTTTCACTGCCGTCGTCGTTGCCTGGCTCACGATTTTTAAGATAACTACAGTCATCTGTCTTACCGACACCTTCCAACCAACCATGTTTTACTCCATGCCTTGTTCATTTTAAAAATAGGCCCTTTGCAGTAAGTCACTTTTGTGGCACAAACCTGCCATGCTGGAGAGCGAGGCCCTACGCACTGAGTCAAGCCAAACAAAAAGCTAACATCTTTTAAAATGATTCCTTTGTTTGTTGTTTGTCATGTCCCTTTGCTTTGCTTGCCCTCCAGCATGGCATGGCAACTAGAGTTTAGCGAGCGGACCATGATCAAGTGAGGTGATTTAGCTGGTTATAACTTCAACCGTGTTTTTACGATCAATCCAACCGTAAAAATTGCCTCAGCTAAGCTTGAATCTACCTAAACCTGTTACGAGGCATTCATAGGATTCGTTATAATCCATTTAAAAAATAAGACACACACAAAAGAACTGATGGCCGCATTATGATATTTTTCTCCCCATCAATTTGATACAGACAGGGCAAAAGAAGAACATACTCACTGGCGTATTTTATAGAAAAATATTCACGTGGCTGACTTCTATTCTTTGAATCGATGTGTTGTACGAACAGACCGGCGTCACTGGCATTAAGGTGTTTTTCAAGGTACTGCCAGGTCATGTCTTGTACTTTTCCCCCATTCTTAATCGAGCAGTTCAAATTCACTTTAGAGTCTTTCGGCGTTACTGTACGGGTTTTTGTCTCCAAAGGAGGTTGACAGTTCTGTGCACTTATTTCACAGTCTAGGGTCCCTGTGGGTGACACATCTATGGCGTAAAAAGGAAAGAATAAAAAGGGAAATTCTTTATTTCATCAAACATTCGCAATATTCGCCCACCTACCCCTCCCCTAAGCCATCATTTTGCTCTAAGCGAGAAGTAAGTGTTAATGTTAGCTTAGGGGAGGGGTTGTTGGGCAGTTTCCCAGAAACCTAATTGATAGAAAGTAGTGTCCGATAGCCCGGGGCTAGTGAATTCTGCTATTAACTTGATGTCTTTTGGAGGAATTCAAATTACAGAAGAACTGTGAAATCAATCTGCTCATCAAAACGTTTCTGGGGCTAGTTGAAATGATGCTTGGGCTAGTAAATGTTAGCTTCGGCTTGCCCGAATGGCAAGCTGTAAAATGATTTTCTTTGGACCCTGATCCAAACATTCATTAACTAACACAAACCTCCACAGGAACTCTTGACAAACCTACTATCCGAGTGAATGTCACTATCCCAGCCCATGTATGTTTTTTTGGCTGGTTATTGTTCTTTGGTAAAGTAATGGGCCTCTGAAAAGATAGCTTGGCAGTGGCTGATTTGACACTCAGTCTTATCAGCAAATGATCGGAATAATCAATCCTACTGATGGTTGAAAATAAGCAATGATTATTATATTTAAAGTTAATATTTTAAATATTTAATTTAAAAAAGAAATCAATGATTAAATTCAAGTAGCTTTTGCAATACTGTAATACTTTGTTATAGTACTGAAAATAAAGCTTATTGTTGTTGCTGATTGAAACTATTTTCGTCATGATCAGTAATAAACGTTAATGAATTATTTGATTTCCTTAATTTCCGAGTCATCATACAATGATGTTGTTTTAGTCAAGGCCAGAATTCGCGAAACAACAAGGAATTAGCTTCTGGATTGAAAACAAAACTATTTCCGCCCATGAACGCTCCACGGAAAAATCGTGAACCATCGCAGTCTTTTGATCGCATATAATGTACATGTAGCCGAATTTTTTGAAAACTTTCCTCAAAAAGACCCAGAATATCCCCAGCGGTGAGAATTTTCATAGGAGACTTGCCGTCTTGGTTGGACTCATCGTCAAGCTCAGACCCTGAGCTAAACTAAAACCGGTTAAATTAGACTAGAGCATGACGAACAGGTTAAAACCGGTCAAGGTACGTGAGTCCGTTGTTTCTATCGCATTAAGAATACAAAAGATGGCAGAGGATGAGATTCCTGTAAATTTTATTCACGAAATAAAGACAAAACTCTAGAGAAAGTTGTACTTACGTGCGAGGGTTATATGAGTGCACAAACAATGTGGATTCTCTTGCTGCTGTAGCACCAGATCATACACATTGTTACTGCCATGAATCTCTCGTCTAACTTGTTCCCAGGTGAAGTCTTGTGTTGATCCTTTTCTAACTTGTTCCCGGCTCAAGTCTTGTGTTGGTCCTTTATTTATGATCGAGCACCCTACAGTTGCGTTAGAGTTTGGATTCACTGTTTTCCGAGTGGAGTATTGACACTCACTTGAGCAGGAAGCTCGTAGTTCACAACTCTTGATGCTTGCAGGCGAGACGTCTGTATAAAAAAGCGTTAAAACATTTCTTTGCAAAATATTTGAAACAGCAGCAGTACTTTCACATGGTACTATTTATATTATTTAGTATGTAGTTCTAACTTTTGAGTTTGTGGATGAAATCCTATGGAGTGACCATTCAAATGAAGCCTCTTCAGCAGTATTTTCAAATGGTACTATCTATTTAGTATGTAGTTCGAACTTTTGACTCTGTGGGTGAAATCCTATGGTGTTACAATTCAACTGAAAAAGCTCTTTAGCGACTTTCACATAGTTCTATTTATTTTAGCATGCAGCTCTAACTTTTGAGTCAGACCCTGCAGGGTATGGATGGTGTCGCCATGGTGTAACCATTCAAACAAAACCTCGTCAGCATTTCTTTCACATGGTACTATTTAGTTGCTATTTGCTCAGACCATTCATTAAAATGGAATGCACGCTGAGAAAACTCCGACTTCAAAAACCACGTCATCAAACCACTGAGTGAGGAAATCCGGCCGGATGTTGGCGGAGTGAGCTGGATAAGTGAACACTTCCCAAGAAGAAAAACTGCAGTAAACTGATCCTCGCAGCAAGAAGAGATATATAAGAAGATATACAAAGAAAATTCAAATGGTAAAGTGTATTTGCCCGATAATTCGGTCTCCAACACAAAGCCTCAACGGAAGTTAAAAAGAAATATAATTTTTGTTGTTGTTGGTTTTTTAAGTTCGTGCTTGTTTCATCAAGCGGGTCAGGGCAGGAGCCGATCAGCGGTCAAGGTTGTCAAGATTTCATCCATGCTTTCCTGTTTTAATCTTTGATTTTCTCGTACGTAATTCATACTTACATCGCCAATCAGTACTCTGTATTTTTCGGGCATTCTTATATCCTGGCCTTGCCAAATAATTGACTTGCACTTTGCTGACCTTGGCTATTTAAGTTATTTTCAAGTCTTTGTTTGGGTTTGCCGTCAAATCAGTGTTTTTAGTTTTTGATTGGTTCGTAGCTTCTTCCGATAGCAACCGCGCGTAGGTTTAGTGAAACCAAGACATAAACCCCCCACCGAGTTAGGGGTACTCAACGACTGTTTCCTATAAAACATCTGTTTCGGGAGAAGCTAATATTGGCTAGAATATCTATCATTTGAGGAGGTGGGAGGCTAGGGTACCTCGTGCGTGCGGTTACTTATTAGCAAAACTACATTAGAAAATTGACTGTGGGGTTACTTTTTGGGGATAACATCTTTGCAAGGTTTCTCTGAACGGAAACCTTTTATGCAAATCTTAAAAAAATCTGAAATTTGAGCTTGGAAAAATGTAATATTTAATGTACATTACCACTCGGTATGCGCACGGAGTGAAAAATACCCATGGCTGTGCATGTTTTGGCGTCCTAATACGAGCTCCCCGGTGGGAGGCTATAAAAATCGTTGCTGATACTGTCCATCACGTGCACATCTGACACATGGCCGCATGAGAACTTCCTCGTACGTAACTACTTTTTCTTCGGTACATGATCCAATTTACGTACAAATGAAATAGAGGCAATCATGAAATGCCACCCGTAACTGCAAACGTCTGAGTCAAGATGAGAATCTTTCAAAATAGAAAATGAGCAGATAAAACAGCTCAAAACAACTGTTATGGACAAAAAATTGCGTGACACTACTATTTTGTGAATAGAAATAATGATCATTAAGGGACGGACCATTACGACAAGTAAAGGGGAAACTTGTCACGTGGTACAAATTCGCTTTTGCCGTTTGAGGTAAACGTGATGCTTACGTACCCACAGAAAAACGACGCGACAGTGGAAATCACCTTTAGGCCTTCTATATTTGAGTGTAATTTAATTATGTGATGTTTAGTTATCACATATTCATTTCTTGTTATCTCAATATGAAGTAATGTGAGTCGCAATTCCGCAATTCAGACTGATTCTCGTATGTTCTCTCTTATCATCTTCCTGGTGTAGAATGACCTTCATTAAATTGATACTTGCTAATCCTGCTAGTACAGGCGTTTTTCCGGCTACCTTTTTTCCCTGCCAGCAGAGGTTTTTTTCTTGCTAGTAGAGGTTTTTTCCTGCAAGAATTTTTTTATGTGCACCGTGGTTTACTGATATTCCCCAGTTGTCTTTGTACATGCTAAAACTGCATACCGTATTTCCTCGAATAATAGCCGTCCCTCGATTAATCGCCTCCCTGGAATAATCGCCCCCCTTTGACAGAAACATTTGAAAGAATCGCCTTCTCCCCGATCCTCTCGTCATCTTCCCCTACTTTTATCTTCTCCTTGTAAAGTTTTATCGTCTTAGGAACTTATCAACGATAAGAAAATATCTCACAATGGAGTCTTGCGAAATTGCTGTGCATGTCGCACACGTGGGCCTATTTGATCCAGAACGATCTATATTAGCATATGTTGCAAAACTCTACATAGCTGGAATAACTTACTGTCTGATATCTTTTATGCAATCACTTCGATCGACAGTAAAACTTTCTACAATTTACAACTCAATTAACCTCTTTATTCCAAATGAATAGTGGAATATGAAAAAAATTTTTCAACTCCCATAAAATTAATTTTCGTCACCATGCAAACGTTTTGTCAAAGAAGTCAGTTCATATTGGTAACATCATAGGATTTCGTCCAAAAATTTTGATTTAAAGTGACAGAATCGTCGCCCGATAACTTGTCTGGGCTCGAAGGGGTTAATTCAGCATATGTGTTCAGATCAGTTGCTGTTAGCGAACAAAAATTCACACAGCCAAGACCAAAATCCAAACGTCGTTCCTTACAGACAAAACTGATGTAGTGTATCTTAAAATCTTGTTCTTTGTTGACCTTTTTCAAAAATTGTATTGTTCTCCTCTTGAGTAGCCAAAATAAAGTATCATAAATGTCTTGACCTTAAGAATCTCAGGAATCTCTATGGGTAGTTGTGGACGTCAGCTTCGTAGCGCGTTTCGCAACGCATCGTCAGGTTAGCAACTTTGATTTCGTCTGAAAGACCCGGCATACAGAGTTTCAACAATTCTTTTTTAATTCATTAACTTTTGTAGTTTTTTTAATAAGTAAAAGCCTGCGACATGAACATCTGTCAACAACAACAATTGTATTACTCTGGAAAATGCACTTAAACATTTTTTACCAGATTTATGGACTCTTTGCAACTTTTTCCAGGCCCGAAGGCTAAAACAGAGTGGCCTTTTCATGGGCAAAAAGCAATGAAATAGGGTCAGGAATTTGTTGTTTCAACTTCATGAAACTAAAGTATACCGGTGAATACAGAGCAAACCACAAAATGATAAGAAGTATGAGTTTTAACACATACTTCTTAACTTACTTCTCGGCTCCGGTATATCATGACGCATATTAAAATATGTTAATGCAGGAGCCGATTTCTCCTGATTAAGACTTATATGACCTACCTTGGATAACAAGGCTTGACACAAAAAAGAACAGCATGAATTTCATGGAGCAAAACTGAAAATGTCTTCCCAGGAAGGCCTGTCTCTTCATGTTTGAGAAACAATAACTTGTTGGTGGCGACTGTCGATAGTTTCCCAGTTGGAATTCCTGTAAAACTAAAAGCGTAGGATGCTGAGCTGCGACAAAACCAAACAGTTTATTGTCCCTTTATTTATAATAAAATGTCGCGTACCCTGATTGGCGGCACATTAGGGATTGATAAACCCCACCCTCTGGTTGTTGTTGTTTTTTTTTGCTGCTCACGTATCTCTTTGAACCGTCTCCACGATCTGAACCCCAGGAAATTTGTGGATCTTACGCCCATGCCATACTTTTCCCACAAAAAGCTTTGTCGCCTTTTTGCGACGAATCCTTATGGAACTTCACAATTTCACCAAGTTCGGCATAAAAAAATGGTCTATGGTGGTGATCTTTTGAATAAAATTGCAATTTTGCGTGACATCTGCGCGTTATAGGAGTATAAAACACGGAGCTAAAGGTGTCACTCAATCGTTGGCTTTGAAAAAAACGTGAAAGCGGGAATTTGTATAACTTGGTCCTGTTTGTCTGGTTTCGTTGTTTTTCGTGATACTAATGCTTACAAAACGTTCTGTAACAACTTACTTTTTCCAGTCAGCATTTCTTGTTTTTGTTTTGTAACTTGTTTAAATGGCTGGAATGTTCTTGGCAAAAACAAATAAAACAACCAAGTGGAGGAATGACGAACACATTTGCTACATTCTTATAATTCAATTTACAAAACGGATTAAGTAAGTAGCGTTAGCAAGACTTACCGCCCACGTAGAGAAGAAAGGAATAAACGCCAATTACCACCTTCTGATAATTCTTCTTTTAAAGCCGCAAAACAGGAAAACCGCTCTCAGGGAGGAAGCGATGTGGAAATAAACACAAGGGCATTAACTTCTCACTCTAAGCATAACGGATCGAGGATGAAATACTACGCATATAATCTGACTATTCCTAACTACCGTATTTCCTCGAATAATAGCCGGGGGCAAGAGCCACAATGGCTCTTGTCGAGGGCGATTATTTCTTTTTTCGCAAATAAAGGGGGTGATTATTCGAGGAAAAGCGATTATTTGAGGGAGGCGATTATTTCAAATATTGCTTACTGGAAGCCGTGCCCTAAATATTTTGTTTATTACGCCATTAAATAAAAAAATAATCATATCAAGTAAACAGAACATGGGTTTTTTTTAAGTGTTCCAAATTTAGTTCCTTGATTAATTTCCATGGCTTGAATCTTCACTAATCAGATCAGTTTCAGTGACTGGATCAGATTCCAGTAACACTTGACAGGGAGGGCATAAAAGGAAGAGAGATGACGAGAGGAGCGGGGGCGGTGAGGCGATTAATCGAGGGACGACTATTTTTTTTGAGGAAATACAGTATGTAATTGACATATATCTTGCATTTTTGTTTTTGGAGGATGAAACTAAGCAGTATATCTACCATTCTTTCCCGTGTTTCTTGCTGTACAAGATTGTTTCTTTGAGCAGAGCACCGGGGGGAGGGGGGAGCACCGGGGGGTACCTTTCAGAGGCTTCAGGAATATATGGATTTCATTATTTGAAGAATATGAAAGGGTAGGGAATCTGTCATTTCGGTCCTGATAATTGAACGACCAGAGAGGGCCAAGAGACGCATTTTCTACATGTGAAAGAGACAGGAAACCTTCCAGGTTTAGTGATTCATTCAGATGTAAGAGGCAGTGCATATACGGCAGTTAAAAGGAATGCAATGTTCTAAACTTGGTATGTAAAAGAGATACCTTTTCTTTAAAAAATGGTAGATAAAATTGGTACCGGGGTTTAAACCTCCGGGCGGGCGGCCAAGCCTCCCTCTTATAAAATTTCGTTGAGTTCCGTCCCGGGGGTATAGCTCGCTTTCAAGACATGATATCATTCGATTCCACCCTTTCGCTTTGTTTCGCACGACCTCTGTAGTTTGTATGTTTTTGTATTCCCATGTCGGTTATGTGATAATATCCAGAGAACTCTTTCTTCCAAATTCTGTCTAATATTCACGAGTCATGTACGCATAAATTATGAAAAAAAAAAAAGGGGCAAATTTCCCTGAGACCTTAATTTATTGGGAAGACGAAACATACAAGAACCCTTTTAATAGCTGTTTTGTGTTTACATTTCCGGCTTGGGTGGTTTTTTAAAATCTTCTTTTATGAGGGGGTTAATTGTATTAGACTGAAACGAGGACGGTTTTGTTTTGTTTTTATTGTGTATATTTTGAGTACCAAGGACTTCTTCTAGTTCATCTTAGCACGAGTCTATAGGGATTTCTATTTTCCAAAAATGCACAAATTTTCTGAAACTCAGTTTTATCTTCTCATCATCTTGGTCCAGTTAGTAATGCTTGGCTTCACTTCTGCCTTGCGTGAAGCCGGGGGATAAGTCTTCACATACGGAATCGAAATGAATGCTCGTTGAAAAGGAAACTTTCACCAGTTTTTCTAGAAAAAGTGGGAACTTAATGGCCAGCCCAATGAAAGTGGCAGTTTGACAAACTTGCGATTGTGAGCTCGAGAAACCATAATTGAAAGAAGATAAAGCATTCAATGCGCATAATGAACATCATCTTCTATTTTGGTGTAACAACCAACTTACTGATTCTGGTAAAACGGGATTTGAAGACACTCGGGGGCGATTTTATCCCCTTCTTAATCTCGCACGCGTCCCTCTTCGAACTTAAACCTGTTCCGGTTTTTGTGACAGCGGTTTGCCGCGAACGTGAGAGTTGCCTGAGATTTTAAAGATTTACCATTTATTTACCAGCTAGGTAGTTTCTAGTTTCTGAGATTATGAATTGTAGACACGATCATGTAATTTCAAAGGTAACTTAACCAATTAATTATAATTATTTACTTTTTTAAGAGAATAGGTAATGCCTTGATGTTGTTGTTGGTCTGTGATCCGTGATGGTTCAAGGACATTATAGCGAATACCCCCTCCAGGAGACTTTCAGCATCATTTTTCGATCAGTGGAAGAAATATATCGGTTTTATCTGATAATACGTACCCCCGCACGCCCAATAATGCTCAGTTCACTTCACGTAGTCATTGCCCACACCTTACGCTGCTGAGCACTTGAATATGATGGTATCGCAACATCAAAACGACTTCTTTCTCTAGTTTTTGTTCCTTAATAACAGGATAATTTTTCCTCATATTGACACGAGGTTTAAAGTTATTTGGGGAAAACAATGAATCATACAACATGAATGGTACACTTACGCCGCCCATCATATTTATCTTTAACGGCCTCTTTTTGAGAGAGAATACTGCATATTAAACACATCAGTTTGCAGAAAAGGTAGAATAGCTTCGAATGTAGCCATTCCCTGAATCATGAAATGCTACATTTTATGGGTAAATTCGAAAGTCTCGGTTATTTAGTTGTCAAACAATGCTGTTTACTAGACCTTGTTTATTCAGAAAAGCAATGACACAGATGTCTAGGGACCGATCCAGAAAATTCAGAAAGGCACCAGCGGCTGGGACACTTGCCAGCTATGTAGTGTGCCACTCATTTTACTGATGGTTCGTTAAATATAATAAAAAATTTCACAGAAAAAGGAGTGGGAAATCCGCCCATAATGTCTGAGAATGTGTTTTCAGCTCACTATAAATGTCTTCAAGCCCGGATTTAAGAAGGTGTCCTAATTTAAGCTATCTCGTTAATGCTGTTCTTAACAATTAAAGGTCCACTATCATTAGAGTTATTCCCTGAAAGATCCAGACCGTGCCTGACAGAATATCAGAAAATATTTTGTGGTTCAATTTATCCTTGGTTTAAATTTATTTTGTTTTGTTTGAAACCATTATCATGTACTACCATACCCAAAGACAAGGCCATTGAATATATAATTTAAACCAAGGATAAAACTGAACCACAACATATACATAATTCTCTAAGCTTGAGGTAGCTAGGGTGGTTTCCAAAATGCCTGGCCTTCGCGGTCGTTAATTTTACCTTTTCATTCCCCTCCAAAAGCCTATCACGTTGCCTAAGAAGATAACTACATTCTGCATCCTTTCTATTCTTGTACGAGGTCGTTATCAGACTCAGAACGCGTGAACGCCACTCTATGGGACATCGGTCGATCGATTAAACTTCAATGAGTATTAGGTTTAAAAGTTTTAAAACATTGAATTGTGCGGATCCATTTATATGGGAATCACAACTATTCCCCTCCGAAATAAATAAATAAATTAATAACATTATAAAATAATGATTAAAATAAAAAATTCTTAAATCTGCCGAGTGAAATACACGTAAGTTAAGGCCATATGTCTGCTCTTTAAAAGGATGTCCTAGATCATTCTAGAGTTTGAAAAGCCGATTACTGTTTAATACACGTGAGTTAAGGCCATATGTCTGCTCTTTAAAAGGATGTCCTAGATCATTCTAGAGTTGGAAAAGCCAATTACTGTTAAAGTTCCTGCATTTGGTGGGTTTCATAATATTGAAAGGAAGGAAAGAATTTGATCACTGGGAATGGATTACAATTAGGTTTCCCCCAAGTCTTTTTACCACAATCCTTTTAGTTTGTTTTCAAAGTTTTCGATAAACATGTAATTCGTGAGGTTTCTAGAGACTCAATGAAAACACTTTAATTGATCCTCTTACAAGCAGCTGATGTTGTTGAAGTGCAGAAATCATACGGCGTGTTCTACGTGGATCGTAATTCATGCCCTACGCTTTTTAATGGTCACCATCAGTAATAGAGGTAAACTTATTTGGCATCCCTATTCTCTTAAATTAAGATTAGAAGGGTAAAATTTAAATAATAAAATAATAATAATAATAATAATAACAACAACAACAACAACAATAATAATAATAATAATAATAATAATAATAATAATAAGGTTTTTCTTTGTTTAAGAACAATAATCCGGATGGTGCCTACCCTACTGGCTGCATTTTTAAAAACCAACGATGGCGACTGCAGGAAGTACTTTGAGCTCGCTAAAAAAACGGTACATGTTTGAGTGACCATATGAGCGGTATCATGAACTTTCAGGCCATATAACCTTTAAAAATTGGCTTATTATCAATCTAGAATAAGAAGTAACACAAATTTTCTAATGAAATTAATTAGCTTCTTATCGAAAAGTGCTCAATACAGAACTTGAAAGTAAAAATTGTGTCAGGACTGACTATTCGAAGACTCGAAGACATCTCTTCAAGGAAGGGCTATCATGGTAGAGTGCGAAGCATGAATGCAGGTTAGATGCTGCAGTCTTACGATCGTGGTTTCAAATAATGTCATATATAAAAGACAGAGAAATAATTTCTTGCAAACTTTTATTCGAAAACCCGTATGTTTTACAAAAAAACGTAGCCAACAATAATTTCTACTCATTCATCGTACTTAAATTGACTGAAGTGACAGCCTGTTAATAAACACTTGTAATTTAAAGTAAAGGGTTTTTGCTACTAAGTGACATTATTAAAAATTTCTTTTCTTTTTGTTTACTAGGACATTTTATTTATTTTTATGTACTTAGTCCCAATTCCCGACTAATCTTTGATTCCATGGTCTTCCTAGTCTATGTTTTTCATTGCTTAAAACTCCTAGTAAAATCATTGCTTTGAGAAAAAATAGTTTAAATGGCTAAAGTAAATTTCTTACATGTCTCAGTCAAAAGCAATTCGCGTAACACTTACTAGATCGTGGATCCGTTCACGCAAATAAAGAGCACATGGCAAATTCAACAATGAACCCGTCTCAACTCGGGCTAATTTTCTAGTAATGTTTCCTTAAACTGAAAGTAAAGTCAAAATTTATAAAACTTCTGTGACAAATGTATAAATACACAAGGTCACACTTCAATCAGTCGAGCACATTCTCCCTGTAAACCATCTCGTGTGATGGCGGCTTTTTCCTTTTCTTTACTATCACGTACAAAGCTGATAAGCTTAGACCCAGGACAACTCCGGATGAGAAAATAATTACAGGTAGGATCCATTTCCTGTGGCTGGGAGCGGGAGTGTCTGAAAGCAATAAAAAGGGAAAATATCAAATCATCATATCTTCAAAAGTAAGGAGTGTTTCTTAGTGTTGCGGAAACCATTGTTGATTCGCCTGTGTGTTGTTGTGTTGGTATTGTTTTGTGGAATGTTTCTTGGTGTTGCAGAAACTATTGTTGGTTCGCCTGTGTGTTGTTGTGTTGGTATTGTTTTGTGGAGTTTTTCTTGGTGTTGCAGAAACCATTGTTGGCTCGCCTGTGTGTTGTTTTGTGGGTATTGTTTTGTGGAGTTTTTCTTGGTGTTGCAGAAACTATTGTTGGTTTACCTGTGTGTTGTTGTGTGGGTATTGTTTTGTGGAATGTTTCTTGGTGTTGGAGAAACTATTGTTGGTTCGCCTGTGTGTTGTTGCGTGGGTATTGTTTTGTGGAGTGTTTCTTGGTGTTGCGGAAACCATTGCTGGTTCGCCGGTGTGTTGTTGTGTGGGTATTGTTTTGTGGAGTGTTTCCTGGTGTTGAGGAAACCATTGTTGGTTGGCCTGTGTGTTGTTATGTTGGTATTGTTTTGTGGAGTGTTTCTTAGTGTTGCAGAAACTATTGTTGGTTCTCCTGTGTGTTGTTGTGTGGGTATTGTTTTGTGGAGTGTTTCTTAGTGTTGCAGAAACCATTGTTGGTTCGCCTGTGTGTTGTTGCGTGGGTATTGTTTTGTGGAGTGTTTCTTGGTGTTGCAGAAATTATTGTTGGTTCGCCTGTGTGTTGTTGTGTGGGTATTGTTTTGTGGAGTGTTTCCTGGTGTTGCGGAAACCATTGTTGGTTGGTCTGTGTGTTGTTATGTTGGTATTGTTTTGTGGAGTGTTTCTTAGTGTTGCAGAAACTATTGTTGGTTCTCCTGTGTGTTGTTGTGTGGGTATTGTTTTGTGGAGTGTTTCTTAGTATCGCAGGAACTATAGTTGGTTCGCCTGTGTGTTGTTGTGTGGGTATTGTTTTGTGGATTAAATTAACTTTAAAAACCGTGGACGAAGATCCTGCTAGTTGTAAACGTTGGATCACTAGAAAAGAGATCAAATCAGCCAAAATATAAAGACAACAACGAGAAGTCTAAAGACTACTGCAAAGCTGATTTAAAAGAACGTGTATTGTTTTTTACAACAATATTTCGGCTGGCCATACCAGCCTTCTTCAGGTTTACAGATGTTACTGAACTTATGTAGCAATCACAATATTATATAGATGGAGAATGTCGCAATAAAAGGGAGAGGCGGAAATGACGTACAAAATAAAAAGTGGAAAGGAAAAATACTAAGGATATGGATTACAATAATTCGTCACGGCGGTTTAGGCCATGAGGTTCAAGAGTCATGGCCTTATCTATCAAATGCGACTCCCTGGCCTTACGAACTGAGTCACGTGAAGAATGAATTTTTTCTAGTGGGATTAACTGCATGTCAGTATGAGAATGGTTAGAGTGAGAGAGAAAGTGTTCAGAAAACAGTAGTGGGTTTAGATTTAATGTTAGTTTTGTCGACTGCGCGTCTCTGTTCGTTAAATCTGTCCTTGAGACGTCGCTTAGTTTCACCTATATATTGTAAATTACAACAGTTACATTGAACCATGTAGATCACATTTTTAGTGTTAAAAGTAATGTGTGAAGTGATGGAGCGTGTTTCACCTGTTGCGTAAAAGGTATAACTTGTAAGGCCGTTAGTACTGTATGGACAAGTGGCACAATTCTGTCCACAACGGAAGGAGCCTAGCGGAAAATGATTGGTGGAGATAACAGGTAGTTGTGTTTTTAGTTATACAGGGGCACCCAACGAGAATATAGTTCAAAACCACTTAAACATAGCATTGTTAAACGCATTTTAGCATTTAAAAAGTAGATAAAGGCACATTTTTATATCCCAAAAATGTTTCATCTGTTCAGATTTTCTAGCTGAAAGTCTAGTGATCCGAAAATTATAGTGATCAAAACTTACTTTTTCGAAAATGTGTGTTCCCAGTAGGGGTCTCGGTTGTTGGTTCTGAAAAAAGAAAAAGCACAAAAAAAAGCACAGTTAAACGCATTCAAATGATCTATCACTCAACGACGAGTTTTTTACTTAATTGACTTTCTTATCGCACTTGTTACTGATCCATGTCTTGGAAAACCGCTCGAGTTTGCGTTTAGAGAAGACCTTTTTTAGTTGCATGATCGTTTAAAAAATCATTCAATGTGTAGAATTTGGAGAAGTCACTAGAGAAATCTTGTAGAGGAAACAATACCTGTTGAAAATACGTTCAACTGGATAAAAGACGCGGAACTGGAGTCGTCCTTGGCACAGATCCACTGACATTTATACTTTCCCTCATCATCATCAGTAACATTAGCTATGGTGAGAATGAAATCTGTTTTGCATCTGCTGTTAGTTCTCCTTTTTTGTATATCATACTTTTCACCACTTGTTAATGGCGTTGAGCTGTTGTTAAAAAACCACTGAAATTTCATTGAATATGCGGCGCAATTGTCAGGATCTATTTCAACCAAGCACTTTAAACTGACGTTGTTGTAGGCTGTCACTGAAACCTCGGGAGGAGAGATAGGCGGATGATTAGGACCCGGACCTGCATAAATTGGAAGATACATGGCAGATATTATTATGAACAAATCAGATACTATTTAAAGATCATTGCCGTGCGATTGTGCAACTTTAAAGGACTACAGCCTTTATCTTACCGTGCCCGCTTTTTGTGACAATAAATGAGGCAACGCGATGCCCCAGGAAAGGTACTCTTGATTTCAAGTGACAGGGATGAGCGAAGGATTTTTTTGGGGTTTGAAATTTTCGATTCTGGTTTTTTTTTGGTAAGTAGATTTGGTAAGTATTTTTTGGGTGGTTTGATTTAAGTAGGGATTTTTTGGGGTACTCAAAATGTTCTTGGGCTCCTGGTGTCTCGAGTGTTGTTAGAACGACCACCAGATGTGTATGGTATGATGAATAAACAAAAACAAACATTCGGGATATTTTTAAGTCTCAGCAATTCGGCATGGGATTTTTTGGGGTTACTTTTTTGTAGGAATTTTTTTTGGGAGGGGGTTGTTAGAAACCCCAGAGATTTTTTTTGTCCCCCAGTCGATCATCCCCCTGATTATTTGTTTTTGAGAATTTTTTTCTATTTTTTTGAGGGAGAACACTCTCACGAATGTAGCCTCTTCAGGCGAAGCCACACGTGGGTTTTTGATTTGTCATTGGTTCTCTCCCTTGCTCCGAGAGATTTTTCTCCGTGTACTCCGGTTATCCCCTCTCGAAAAAATTGAAGCAATATTTCCAAACTTCAATTCGATCCAGAATGGTGGATGAACAGCCCAGCACTTTGTTTAACTAATCAACCATTTATTTATTATTTATGTTTTATTATAACCAAAGGATAGGCTTTTTATGCGTGATAATTATCAGTGACCGCATAAAAAGAAGACATTCACACTATCTATTCTTTTTCTAAAATAAATAAATAAATAAGCTAAGGATCCCTAGATTCTGAGAGGAAGAGGGTAGTGGCAAGAAATGTTTGGTTTATCTTTTAAGTTAACTGTCTGAGGCAGCCGTGGCTATACACAAGCGACGTATTTTTTTTCTCCCCGTTTGAAGGGATGAGACATTCATAATCCACAGTGAACTGAAAATTTAGCGAGATATAAGGCTTCTGAAAGCAGCTAATATCTTACATACCTTAATAGGCCATTTCCGAGTTCTCCGGGCCTCTGTATCAAAACGAGGTTAATTGCTCAGCCTTTGATATGGAAATAAGTTTTCATTCTCATGTAAATAAAGCTCATTTTCAAGAGAAAGGTTGTGCACTTGGCCTCATTTTGAAGGTGAGGGTTTTTGGAGCCCGGAAGTGGCCTATTGTTGTATGGCTAGAAATATCTTCTTAACAGCGCGCGCTCTCATTGGTTACTTCGAGGTCACATGACATCTAACAATGAAAGCGTTTACCGCTAAAATCTCTGAGCGGGCAACATTGCCAAATTTATGACGTCAGAGGGTAAGAGTGCACTGTTACCCGCGAATGTTGACCAACGACCGCCGTTACAGCGAGGTTTAATGAATTTCCAGCTATATAAAAAAACACGAATCTCAATGTTTTCCTCGGTTTCGCCTCGGAAAACATTGAGATTCCAGGAAAACAAAATTGTTTGTTTCCCTCTGGACCAGTCATTAAGGATTTATTATTCTCTCTGAATGGAATGTCTGTTGACTACAGGGCAACCGAAGAGCTGTATTTCTCCTGCTCGTGTTAAGACCTGATCGGAGAGAAAGAATGTCAACTTCACCCGTGACAATTTCGTCTGACGGCATGTACAGGGTCTATCTACAAGGGTATTCCCAGGCTCCGGGATTTGACCGGGCAACGTTAAACAGGATACGGTCTGCCCCCATACGCTCACGTATGGGGGAGTCATTACTCATTCCTTCATTACTTGTAAACTGCACCTTAAGCAGTGTGGCAAAGTCCCCCAACCAGTGTTGTAAATTATCCCTAAAAAGCCCTGATGGGAGTGGATAATAAGATATTTACAATTTACGGAATTTGACTGCTTCTGGGGAAGCGGGATTCTCCAAAATTTGGGCACAGATGCAAGATTGAGAAAGAAAACGATATACGGGTATGCACAGGGTCTGGAAGGGTACTCTCGGGAACCAGGACTCGCCCGAAATACATAGCAGGATTCGGGAAAACGCCCAATTTCTTTACCCGATACGGGAATTGACCGCTACTCGGGAAGCAGGATTCGCCAAAATCTGAAAGAAAACGGTATTCGGGATAGAGATGACAGAAGTTCGGGGCGCGGGATTGTGGTGAAAGAGAGCGGGAATACGGGATCAGGACCACCCGTCCCCCCCCCCCGCCCAACTTTCAGACTCTTGGTATACAGTAATCCGGGTTCACTTCTAAACATACCTCTAACTAATCAGACCACTTACACCTATAATCCAGCTCAATTATCTTTGATTTTTTACTCGACCAGCCGGTAATGTTGTTCGTTGCAGTGCAATTATAATCCCCTTTGTGTTTTTCTTGTACATTAGCATTACGAAGAAGGGAAGTTAAGGTATCCTCTCCATCCAGCTGCTCTGAGATGTAAAAACCTTCAGATCCGTTGATGATTTGTTTTTTATCTGGATTGTACCAAACTACACGAGGACGAGGCCATCCCTTGAAGGTACAATTCAGTTCCATTGTTGTCTTGTTAGAAGAGTACTCAAAGGGAGACCTTGTCTTAAATACTTTCTGAACTGGAACTGACAACAAATTTTAAGTCTTGTACTTCCTAGGCTCATAAGTCATTCACTCAGTTACAATGTACAGTTTACAGCTGAAACACGCAATAGGTAATAAGGGGACCGAAAGAAACTTTGGGTACAATGATCCTGACTTTTTAAAAGAAGAACGTGCTTCACGGCGGTAACTATAATATTGAGCAAAATGGGGTGCTGATGAAAGTTAAAAAGAGGGAGCACGACACGTATAAGCTGCGAAATGCTCCCCATTTCGCCAGCGTAAAAGGTTTCAAACAGCAACTCCTGGACAAATCGCACGTCAGCGAAGATTATTACTGTGAGGTCTTCGTATCAAGACCAGTTTTCGTGCTTTTGTTTTCTGCAGCCAAAGGGAAATGCAAATATTAGGTTCTTCAAAAATTCCGATAGTTCTATTGGGTCACAGTTTTGCCTATAGTTACCCTTTACTGGAGGTAAACATTTTGAATTAGCTGTATTCAAGCTATCCTTCACTCTCCCCTCCCTAATACGGACCAACGTAGCCCTTGATGTTGATTTTTAATTAGCAAATCGGTTCCGATGCTAACCTATTCAGTTAAGGCACCGTGATTCAGCCGGACAAAACGAATGTATCGTTTCTAGTTTAACGATTACTTTTACCGTAAAGACTGCTTTAGGTGAACTGAAATCTCCTTTGAATTGTTAAGAGGCCTTCATTTGATTCTGCATCAATAATTCATGTAACAAGAGACAGAAAAAATGCCACATGTTTTTTGCTTCATCATGAATTCAAAAAGGGGCAAAGAGAGAAAATACTTACTTGCGTATTGTATAGAAAAACATCTACATGACTCATTTCCATCTTTTGAATCGATTTGTTGTAAGAATAGGCCTTTACTGGCATTGAGGGTTTTTTTAAGATCCTGCCAAGTCATGTCTTGTACTTTTCCACCGGTCACTATCGAGCACTTGGAAGTCACTTTAGAGTCTTTCGGCGTTACTGTTATTGTCTGAAAAGGCGGTTGGCATTTCTGTGAGTGGAAGCAAGAAGCACTTATTTCACAGTCCGGACTTCTTGGATTTGACACATCTATTGAGTAAGTAAAAGAATTAAATAATAAGGCTGGAAGAAGACATTTGGAAAACATACTCGTGAAATCCAGTTTGATAAGCTGGCAGCTTCCCACGGGGAGGGAGGAGTGGGGTGGGAGGCACTTCTATAGGAAATTAACGCTCCACGAAATTAAGATATTGGAAATCAACGCGACTTAAATTAACGCGAATTAAATGGGAAACGACTTTCGCATAAAGGAAATAAAAGTGAAAGAGAGGGTAACAATTAAAAACAAAGGAAATTAACAAGACGTTCACAAAGGAACAACAATAACAATTTTATTAAAAAGCAAATACACCGTATTCACAAATGGCGGACACGCGGGAAAAAACTGGTGTCTAGTCATGAAAGCGAGGCGTTGGAGGATAAACAAAAATTGCAAATGAAGACTTTCAGAGAACTTGCAGAGTGTTTAGCACGGATTCCACCTAAAATAACTTTGTACGGACTTCGTTTTAAATACAATTAAGTGGGATGTCTTCTGCTTTTAATGTTTAGTAGTGATTTGCTGTTTGCAATCAAAAAGGACGCGTATATCTTCAAGGAAACAGGATGATTTTTTAGGTCTGCGAAGCATCAGAAGTTCGACAAGTGGACGATGGCCGGAGAAAAGCGGCAAACATGTTGGCCCAAACTTCACATTGAAACCGAGTAGGAAAGCCAGCTCACTGCAATTCTGTGAAACAGAAATATAAACAAATCTTGGTGGCAAGAAAAAAAGAAATAAGCGACAGGTATATGGCCTACTTGTTAACGCAAGAGACGTCTGCCGCTGAACAATTCAAGTCGAGCCGATGGAAAAAAGGAAGACAGGAAAGAAGACGTGACTGAGGTTTCGATGAAGTGATGTTTGTTTTTTGTTTGCCAGGACGTTATTCTCTGGTCTTTATCGATGAAGGACATCAATTAGAACTAATTTTTTAGTATAAATGCAGGAGCGATCGAGTGGAGTACGCTCAAAATTTCAACTTGTTACTCGACAGATTCGGTAAGCCGGCCACATCATTTCAGCGATTAATTTGGTATCTCTTATCTTTGGCTGTTAAGAGTTTTAACTTTATGTTCCATAATATTTTAAAGTTGAAGAATACATAAATAAATAAAATGATGGTCTTCTTCAAGTTAAACGGATCCAGACTCGAATTTAATTATTCGAAACAGAAGCTTGCCGTGTTCAGTCCTGACACAAACATTGTCTTAAAAGTTTAACTTGGTAAAATGTAAGCTTTATACCACTTTTTTACCAAGAGCTCTCTGAGATAATTCCCTAGAGGAGACCAGGCAAATAGCCAGCCATAAGATTCACACACTACAGCTTCTAATTTTGATAAAATTACTTTAATTATTTCGCAATGACAAAGAAATCATGAGATTTTTGCTAAACTGTGCCAACGTACCTCTAACAATTCACTCCAAACCGACGGAATTAATATGATCCAAAGGAAGTTGTAAATACAGACATACATATATACATAGATATGTATAAAATGACACTGACATGAATGAATGAGCCTCGTGAATGAATCTTTCACCCGCTCTCGACTTGACCTGTTTTGTGTAGTGGCGGAGGTCCATTCCGTTGACAAGTAGGCCATATATCCGTCGCTTATTTCTCTTTTTCTCGCCACCAATATCTGTTTTTACTTCTGTTTTACAGAATTGTAGTGATCTGGCTTTCGTATTCGGTTTCAGTGTGAAGTTTGGGCCATCATGTTTGCCGCTTTTCTCCAGCCATCGCCCACTTGTCGAGCTTCTGATGCTTCGCAGACCTACAAAATCATCCTGTTTCCTTGAAGATATACGCGTACCTTTTGATTGCAAACAGCAAATCACTACTAAACATTAAAAGCTGAAGACATCCCACGTAATTGTATTTAAAAAGAAGTCCGTACAGAGTTATTTTAGGTGGAATCCGTGCTAAACACTCTGCAAGTTCTCTGAAAGTCTTCATTTGCAATTTTTGTTTATCCTCCAACGCCTCGCTTTCATGACTAGGCACCAGTTTTTTCCCGCGTGTCCGCCATTTGTGAATACGGTGAATAAATCCATTTTAATACTAGGTATACCTATCGACAGAGTGCCAACAAGCAAATCATGCGTATTTTGTTTAGGAATAAAATTCCTTTTTTTCCCATTTGACCGTTTCTTGGTCCCTTCCTGTTGCAAGGATTATTTTCTTGAAAAGTTCTCAGATTCAGTCTGGTGGCTTTACAAACCTGCTATGTAAAAGTGTGAAGTGCCTTGAAAGAGTCAGCTTTGCAGAGGAAGCGATCGGGAATATTATTAAGTCCAGCTACAAATCTACTGTCGGTTCGGTTTCACATTGTTGATTAATATTTGCACAGTTTAATCATTTAAGCCTCCTTTCAAATTTCCGGAGGCTTTTTTTGATCGGATTGAAACTTAGAACAAGACGCTACGGAGCGTACACTTCGGCGTCGTGATTGTGGAACTGATTAATTGTAAATGCGGAGGAATAGTAAGAAATAAAATATGGTAAGAGTAAGGTGTTAATTTGTGAAATTATGAAATTTGTCAGGATATTCTGAAAAGAGCAACATCCAAGAGGCCTACCTGCCAAAAAGTAGCATTTCGGGACAAATTGTCTCTGAGATATTAGCCCAGTTATGCTCTGATGACTCCATACAAATCCTTCTAAATTTGACTTGGGTCTAAACGTATAGATCTAAGTCAAATATGAGGTTACTGGCGGTGAATAACAAGTCTAACAAAACAAACAGTGAAAAAAAAATTCTCTATTTTTCTTAGTCACATCAGGCTTCACAAACAGCATAGCAGTCTCATGTACTGATTAAAGATATGTAAGGCATGGGTAAGGAGTCAATTACGTTGAGCATGGAATTGGCTGTTACGAGTTCGAATGTTTTGAGGATAATTATTCACTGACTATCAGCACGCAGGAATGTCGGATTAACTCAAGGAAGTTTAATACCAAAGGAACATAGCCTTTTCAGAGCTTTAAAACACAGCATCCGCCAACACAAACTTGACTTGAATTTAAGTACAACTAAACAGCCTCTACCAATAATAACAAACTCTCACTTGAACTTCAGATATCTTACGGCTTCCGCCAACTTGTAAACACAGAACTTGAAAATCGGCCTTCGTCACACTTGACTAAACACAGCAGTCCAACTCGTGGGAAAAAACTTAGTTCGTCGAAAGACCTCGCTTGGAACTTGTATACCGTTTGACATAAGGTTCTAGAAAATACTAAACGGGCGAATAGTAGTAGCTTTTCGACATATTTTATGATTTCAGTAACTGATACAAATCTGCTGACTAATGCTGAAATGTAAACATGCCCTAATTAATTATTCATGAATAATCCAAAAAAAGGAGAGAACGTTCGAAAAAGTCACGCAACGCATGAAAGCAATTTTACTACGTAACACTCAATAAAGACAAAATGTCTTTGTGCAGCATTTTGTAACTATAAATTCATCATAAAGTAGTTCGAAAGAAGGGCTCACTGGTGAAATGTTTTTTTTTCGACACTCGAAGAGAAATTTCGTGTCTCTGCGCGGCCACGTAATATCCTCTATTTATTCCTCGAGTAATAAATTAAAGGCTAAACTCGAAGTGATCTCAAGATATCACAAAGTTGCCCGGTTTCATTTCGTGAAATAGCCGACACAAGCCGAAAAGTCGCGAACTTGCACGCCCAATCTTGTCCCGAAACTGGTGCATAATTTCATAACTATTTTACATAGCCCGAACTACCTTGGGTCGCAGTAGCGCAATCGGCTAATCCCTCATCTTAGAGTCTTCTCTGACCTGATGGGTCACACAGGTGAGTCGGTTCAAACCCCGGGAAAGCCAAAATAATAATTCTTTCTTCCTCGAAAAAGTTAAAGAATAAATCAAAGAAATCGAAGTGATCTCGAGATATCTCGGACTAATTCGGCTCTCACTTCGTCAAATAGCCGAATAAAACCGAAAACCTACAGACTTTGCATGCTCAATCTTGTCAAAAAATTGTAACTTTGATACATTCCTAAGCGTCGCGAATCCTTTACTTCGCGCTCCGCCGAAGTAATAATTCGCTGGGCCATCTGAAATGTTTCCAAGGACATGCGATGTACGGCACGTCGGTATTTAATTTTAGTTCATTATTTTTATACTGAACTCGGCCAGGTTTCGAAAAAAAATGGCGTTGTTTTCTTTTCCTTTGTCGTTCGCTTTAGGCTTGTAATTCGTTTTTGTTCTCATTGTTTTTGTTTGCTGGTTAGATTTTTTCCCCAACACCAGATTTTCCAACAGAAGCTACTGCATTCTTCGTGTCAAGCTTTCCTTATCTCCTCGTGTAATCTGATCCTTTTTAGTGGTGAGAATATTGCTTGCTTCACATAGAACACTTTTGCTGTTTTACAAATTTCTCTCATGTTAGGATATTAGTCATCGGCATCAATTGTCTTAAATACTATCTGAACTGGAACTGAGAAGGAATTCTTCGTCTTAATTTCAAAGCTCGTAAGTCATGCACCCAGTCATTTAAACTAGGGAGCTTTGGTGACCAACTCGACTGCGCACATTTCACCTTTGATCAGGACTTATGTAATTTGCTGGTTTTCTTCTTGTTGTTTTTGTAATATACTTGTAATTTTTATAGCAACCTCTTGAATTAGTGCAAAAAATATCAAAATCTACAATGTGAAAATCTTAACTACCACGACGACAACGTCAAAAAACAATTGGTTTTAACATGAAAACAACAGTTGCTTCACGTACATCAAGCTTCTTAGTACATTATATTTCTTTGACGTTCACTGCACGACTATAAAGTGAATCCTCCTAATAATGCGACGTTTTATAGAGAAAGTGAACATACGACGACGATTTCGCCTTTTTATTTCTGATCCTGAATAAAGTTCTTAAGAATTCAACTCCAAGAGAAATCGCCTACATTTGACAAATTAAGCAGCTCCAAATAGACGCGATAACATTTGAAACGAGGCAAATTTAATTTTTTAGCGACATTTTCACTGCTATCGTCGTCGTCGTTGCTTAGCTCACGATTTTTAAGATACCTACGGTCATCTGTCTTACCGACACCTTCCAACCAACAATGTTTTGCTCCATGCCTTGTTCATTTTAAATAGGCCCTTTGCAGTAAGTCACTTTTGTGGCACAAACCTGCCATGCTGGAGAGCGCGGCCCTACGCACTGAGTCAAGCCAAACAAAAAGCTAACATCGTTTGAAATGATTCCTTTGTTTGTTGTTTGTCATGTCCTTTTGCTTTTCTTACCCTCCAGCACGGCATGAGTAACTAGAGTTTCGCGGTGAACCATGTTCAAGTGAGGTGATTCAACTGGCTATAACTTCAACCGTTTTTTACGATCATTCCAACCGTAAAAATTGCCTCAGCTGAGCTTGAATCTGCCTAAACCTGTTACGAGGCATTCATAGGATTCGTTATAATCCATTTAAATAAGACACTCACAAAAAAAACTGATGGGCGCATTATGATATTTTTCTCCCCATCAATTTAATACAGACAGGGAAAAAGAAGAACATACTCACTGGCGTATTTTATAGAAAAACATTCACGTGGCTGACTTCTATTCTTTGAATAGATTTGTTGTAAGAACAGACCGGCGTCACTTGCACTGAGGTTTCTTTCAAGGTCCTGCCAGGTCATGTCTTGTACTTTTCCCCCATTCTTGATCGAGCAGTTCAAAGTCACTTTAGAGTCTTTGGGCGTTACTGTTATCGTCTGAAAAGGTGGTTGGCATTTCTGTGCACTTATTTCACAACCTAGGGTCCCTGTGGGTGACACATCTATCGCGTAAAAATGGAAAGAATAGAAGGGAAATTCTTTATTTCATCAAACATTCGCATTTTCGGTTTCTGGGAAACTGCCCACCTACCCCTCCCCTAAGCTATCATTTTGCCCTAAGCGAGAAGTAAGTGTTAATGTTAGCTTAGCGGAGGGGTAGGTGGGCAGTTTCCCAGAAACCAAAATTGATCCAAACATTTATTAACTAACACAAACCTCCACCGGAACTCTTGACAAACCTACTACAAGGCACCCAGCCTACTATCCGAGTGGAAGTCACTATCCCAGCCCATGTAATATGATTTTTGGTTGGTTATTGTTTTTTGGTAAAGTAATGGGCTTTTTAAAAGATAGCTTTGCAATGGCTGATTTGACACTCAGTCTTATCAGCAAATGATCGGAACAATTAACCCTAATGATGGTTGAAAGTAAGCAATGATTATTGTATTTAAAGCTATTTTAAATATTTAAAAAGGAATCCATAATTAATTGAAGTAGCTTTTGCAATACTGTAATACTTTGTTATAGTAATGAAAATAAAGCTTATTGTTGTTCTTGATCGAAACTATTTTCGGTAATAAACATTCTTGCATGGTTCTGTTCATATTTTAGAGGTTGATTTGGCTAATCCTTTATTTTCTCTGCGAGACATCAACTTGACACTTGGACTCTTGTCCCCCCGAAGACACGTGGTATGGCGTTATTCTGTGGGTGTTGGGGGTTCTAGGTCAGGGCTTTAATCAGAGTGTGCCGATATTTTTCATCACAGCTTTCTCTGGTTGTTACGCCAATACTGACGGGCCCCAAAAAGGGCGAAACAGCTGTCTATGGCTACAATCCCGCTCTGTTTTTAGTTCTTTCGGTGTCGTATTGATGTCTAGCAGGGTGAATTTTCACGTAGTAGGATCAGCATTGCAGTATTCTGCTTGCAGAATTTAATATGTCTAGTAATGAATTATTTGATTTCCTTAATTTCCGAGGCATCATAAACTGATGTTGTTTTAGTCAAGGCAAGAATTCGCGAAACAACAAGGAATTAGCTTCTGGATTGAAAACAAAATTATTTCCGCGTATGAACGCTCCACGGAAAAATCTCGAACCATCGCAGTCCTTTGATCGCCTATAATGTACATGTACCCGAATTTTTGAAAACGTTCCTCAAAAAGGCCCAGAATATCCCCAGCGGTGAGAATTTTTATGGGAGACTTGCCGTCTTGGTTGGTCTCATCGTCAAGCTCAGACCCTGAGCTAACTATATATTACTGATGACTGTGTCCCTATGATATATATAATTTATATATATGTTTTGATGTAGATTAGGTTAGTTTAATTCTTAAACACACGACCCTACAAGCTTTTATAGCTTTAAAAATTATCGTGTTTAAGTAAAGATTATGTGTATATGGATGTAACAGGTATTGGGAACGTAGCGAAAAATAAGAGAAGTAGCGAGGTGAATATTCAGAGTGAGGATTGGAATTTAGTGTACCAAACTCTCTCGGCCAACCGCTCCAGCACGATGTTCGAAATGTCTGTGAGCGACTTGTTCCAGCTCCGTGCAGCCGCCATTTATACCATGCCGGAAACTCCCTTTTTATATCTATCCGGCATAGTGACGACAGAACCTTGCCCTTTTTCTTCACTAACACAGTCTCCGTTGCAGTTCCCACCGAAATCATCAATGACTTCCTTGTTAACTGATGTTGAATGAGGCGGATATAGGCAGTAGATATTTTTTTGACTTGCTATACAAATTGTATTGTTGATATTTGTTTTGTTGTTCTGATCATTTTTAACGAATTGCAGGTGAATTGAGCCTAACATGCAACGAGCAATGCCACGTCGAGGCTGTAATATTACATTTTATATTCGTGCCTACATTTTACCGCGTTGGGAAGTTGATTAGTCCAACCGGTTCCACACCAAAGAAAACAAACTAAAAAATCAACAAAGAAGCAAAATACAACCCCCAAAATAAAAAGCTACAGATGAAACCAAACAAACAAATAACTAAAACAAAAAACAATGAATGACCTTGCGGAATATAATCAGCTATATACGGAATCGCGCCTGTAGATACGCGTCGCGAGTAAATGCAAATTTTTGTCAATCGAATGTCGCTTCTATTATTTGTAGGTGGAAATTGGTGAAACATCGTTATTGTTTTGGAGACAATAGAAGAACAAAAGATAACAGAAAGATCAAGTTATGCGGTCTTAAAGCGTGTTGCGTGACTTTAATCAGTTGTAGCATTTCTCATAACTTTCCCGCATTAAAACGTTGGAATGAAAAGTCTGAAGCTTAGCTTTTAAAATCTTGATAGCCAAAATAAAAAGGGTGCCCAAAAAGGCAAGCATCTGGGAATTTAAACTCGACATTTTTGTCTCCAGCGAAATCCGGTGGATGAATAGTAATTTGCATAAAAGCGTAAGTGAAGCGAAATAGATACAAATTGCCGTGGTTGTAAACACAACGTTTCCTCGGCGTTTTTTCCTTTTGAAAGCGTAAATTCGCATGAAAGAATTCAGCTTGCACAAAATAATATAAAATGAAACGAAGCAAATCGAAAAGTGTTAAAAAAAGTCAGGATATTTCAGTTCGATGGAAAGTAAGTGATTCGGTAGGTGATCTGCATACTGATAAAAACAATTTCTAGCGCAGTTCAAAACCGTTCGACTTCCTGAATTGTTTTTCTGGAATTCTATACATTCTGCTGGCCTAATTCGTTAAAATATCTTTATCAAGTTAAGCGTTTGCATTTCCTTATAAAACAGAGAGTTGAGCGAAAGCTTCGTTCTATTGATTTTCTTAAGTTAAGTTACCTTTGTATCGTGGAAACAATACGCTAACACTTGAGTCTTGAATCAAAGGACGCGACATGCGTCGGCTTCCTTTGTGAGCGCGCAAATAGTCATGGGACCCGCGATTTTGCGGGCGACGCGGATCTACAGGCGCCGTTATACGGTATATATTTATTTTGTTAGCGAGAAATTTATTGCCAATCGAATTTTTCTGCCATTTAGGAGGTCAATCGCCCGTGAATCTTTCTTCTCTATTAACCGGCGACATTAACGATTTGTAAGAATATTTTTCGGTCCCTTTTGTTAACGGTCGATTCTTCTTATTGGGCACGTCGTTTTCAGTTAGCTTTTATATGCAAAGGCAAGAAAAAATAATTAGAAAATGACTCATTTTCCTGTTTACTTTTATGGCGTCTACAGTCGATTTCCACTTTGCAAACACAGACTCGTTTATCACACCTGAAAAATAACCCGCCTTGTTTTCTTCTTGGTGCTTTCTGGGGAGTTTTTGTTTAAGCTTTTAGGTTTTGTTTAAGCTTTTTAAAACATTAGTGACATAACGCAGAGATGCCCTGCCTCTTGTTACTTGTGAAACAAGGACCGAGAGCGACGCTAAATAGGGAATATTTTTTTTCCGGTTTACTGCATGTACTGATGCACATATAGCGCGAAAATGCTACTATGTCTTACAAAGATGACGTACCTTGAATCCAAAGAGTCGTCAAAGAAAAAAACAGAAACAATTTAAGGAAACAAATTTTGAGATCTTTTCCTACGCAGTCGTTCTTCATGTTTGCTGTATAACTGTTTTCTGTTTGAGCGACTTGAAGCAAGTAATCAACTGTTTCGATAAATTAATGGAATTCACTGCGTGTCCTCATATAACTCGTGTAACTAACATATATCAAGCTGAGATAGTCAGTTGCATGGATATGGGAGCCTAGTTGTAACTGATCAATTAAAACATCTCGGTTTTAACGTCAGTTTTATTGGAGAAGGCCCTCCTTCCACTTGGATTCAGTTACAGATAAAATACATATTAGTTGCCCTTTGTGCCTTTCGCCATTGAAGTTTAAAGTGTATTTGATCCTCATTTTATCACCCACTGACTGAAGCCGAAAACTTAGTTGGGAAATTTCACTCTTCGCTATTTCCAAAGACAATAAAGTTTGCTGTAGGTATTCATATTCTAGGCGCTCTGGTTGCCTATGGCTAGCTGAATGGCAGTTGCTAAAATTAGCTCTCGTAACCTCAACCTTAGTTTCAGGTTTCTTATGTAAATTTTACGCAACTAGTGCTCGCCGTTTCTCAATGGACCGCTAGTAAGCGACCATATTTAGACGGATATGAGGGCAGTCACTAACGATAGCTTAGCAAAAAACCTGGGAACATGTTAGATTAAGAAACAGTCTCTTTACACGCCCGGAGCTCTTCCCAGTCTCTCACTCTCTTTTCACCCTCGACCAGTATTTTTACCTAGCAGCAACACAAACTTACGGGCTGTTAAGCACCTAAGCATGTGTTCTTTATTACGAATACATTTAGGTAAAAGAATATTAAGGAGTTTCTTTTTTAATAACTTTGATCATTCCAAATCAACGAACTATTCGCGCTTTTGCTCTGCATTACCCCAAATTTTAATCATGAAGTTAATGCTTTTGTTTAAGTGTCGACGTAGTGGTCGGTTATAAGAACTTAAAAACAAATGAAATGGTCCTGCTGGTGATCCACAAGAGAGGTCCACTTACAGGGACTGTTGCTTAAGAGAGCTTAAGAGCGAATGCACAGAAAAATCGAGCAAACCGTGGCCACAGCTCAAAACCTAACCTACCCTCATTTTCAGTCTGTAATAAGGTTTTAATGAGTTTATAACACTGCTGAGGTTTAAATTTCAAAATGCGGTCGAATTTGGGAATTATTTGAGATTTTCGATTTCAACGGTTTGCGGGCCTAAAATTAGCCGCCGAACACGGCAATATAGCCTAGCGACAGAGATGAGCTGACTTTCATAAACGAGCGAATATATTGGCAATCTTCCACTTAAATCTCAAAAAACAGCTATTAACAATTTCTAAACAGCACATTTTTTTAGATTTAGAGAGTAAAATATCGACGAACGAGCACAATTTTGAAACGTAATTTGCATAATGCTTATAAATACAACAATTTACCGCTAAAACCAAAATCGAATTTTCTATATGGGGGAATTCTCCAAATCACCCCAAATCCCGCTTACTACCCAATGAGATATAGTACTTCAACATTATCTGAAAGTTAGTCTGGTGTTCTTGCCAACGCTTGTAAAATAGATTGATTATTTTGAGGTTATTTTGCCCCAAACAACCGCTAATTGACCCCAGGGTCAATTGACACGTGCACGTCACCTTAGTTTTATGCATCGATTTGAGCTCGTTAAAAGGGAGAAACTGACAAGATTCTTTTAATATGTACCTGTTTTAATGAAATACACGCAATCTTCAAAAGGAGAGGCCGTTCAATGGGTAATATCTGTTCTAGAGATCTTGTAGATTGTACTATGGCGTCTGCGAGTGGACCTGAGTCTAGGTCTTTTTTCCCGTGACTGCGAAATCAGAATAACATCATGAAATAATTCTCGCTCGAACCTTCGTAAATGAATCAGCTTTGCAGTGCCTTACCTGAGATAAAAAGTGGGCCGAATAGGAAAACATTCTAACGCAATTTGGATCCTTTGCAGCACGTAGTGTATTTGCTAAGCGGCGATGGTGTCAATGACTTTTATTAGTTACTCACCTCCGATTGCGTGACCAGGCAATTATCGATTGTCTCCTGCGAAAAAGAAGTACACGGGAAACCAAAGCTTTCGGGATACATTAAATTCATTTTCCTGTATGACCAGGTGTCCTTTTGTCCTATTTTAAAAGCGATTAACTAAGATGATTAGCAAACATACTGTCCCACTTTTAAAGATGGTACAGTAACTGAATGTTCTGTTCTTCTGATTTTACCCCCAACCCAGGAGTGTTCAGAAGATATATTTGCGCTACGCATGAAAGGCAAATGGATTAAATATTAAGGTTCACGGCGGTTTTAAGGCATAGGTTACCAGTGGATTAGTCAGACTTGTCATAAGGTGCATTGAACAGAAAATTACAGGCATGATATCTCTGCTATTGTATGTCCATAAGTGATTTTCCAGCAAACATTTTTTGACTTTTTTTTTTTCAAAAAGTTTTTTTCCGTGCAATTCTTATCTATGAGATCTAAACTTAGTTAAATTTCTGTAATTTGTTGTTAAATGCAATTCTGCAAACAACTAAGTATTTAATGTTGCGTAAAAGCTACATGAAATTGTACTGTTTAGCCATAAATCATTAAAAAGAGAAAGCATCATGCTTTCTCTTTTCAAGTCTAGTAGGACTTAAGCAATGGCATTGCTTGCTTAAGTCCTGTTCTCCATGTCTGCTAAGGAGGAAATAGTTTGCTCTTTTCAAGAAATTGTTCTTGCCCATTGCGGTTTCAAACCTAGGATAGCAGCAAGTCTGTCGTGGTCATATACTGCTACTTCAGTGCAAACGAAGCATAGGCGCACAAGTCAGCGCTTGCGTTTAGTCAGGTGCCGAAAATGAAGTGGAAACTTAACCCCAAGGGCGTCAATGTTCGCTCCGGCTCGAAAAGGTACAATCAGTTGTGCAGTAAAAAGTAATGCGAAAAACCTGCGGGAGCTGGGGAAAGAAAGGCGTCTTATTTTTCTTTGGCTTGTTCTATTTTCGCGACGTGGTACAGGCTACGAAATACTGACAAGCTCAGTATATGTCTTCACCACTGAGAGTCACTTGCACTTAGCCGGGCACGCCCCTCACGTATCATGTTTCGTTCCTAAAGTTATTTCAAAGCACACGGGAACCAAACCTAATCAGCGGCGGAAGGCAGAAAGGGGGATGAGCAAACGGATGTCACAGCATATTTTGCAAGAAACTGGTATCCTTGTGCCTATCGGCTCAGGAACGATTGATTACTACTGGAATTAATAGGCGCGATCCATTCAACCAAAATTCCAACCGGTCCGACCGGGAAAAGAGGACCACCTCAAAAGGTGGACCCGTTTTTTCGAAACTTTTCCGGTTGGACCGAACCGATCCATTGAGTTTTGGACCGAAATTTCCGGAAAGTTTGGTTGAATGGATCGCGCCCAATATCAGGGTCAGAATTTGAGTACTACAATGGGAGGGAAGGAAGAAAACCGCCGCGCACACCTGTTAAGTCTTTTATAAACTTTCTCGTCCTGACGGTTTCAAGGAAGGGCGTTGTGGCTGCTATTCAATTTACAGTGTCTGTTGCAGGTGTCGAATTAATCTTACAGCAACTGGAAACGCGGCCACGCCTGCTGAAACTGAGATTGCTTGTAGGATGAACGGCTATTGTTTGGTATATTCACGAGCGCGTTTTGTCCAGTGGACTGAGTACGTAGTTTTTCTTAACGAAGGGATGGGGTGGGTCAAGTGAGTAGTTCGGGGAACGTTTGCTCTCTTTAGGCGGGGGGTATATTTGTTGATATCAGGAGTTCTGGCCTGGATAGAGTCTTTGTAAAGATATCTTTGCTTCGGAGTATCGGTTTACCGGACGCTGAGCAAGAAAAAGTCAATGGTGCATTTATGGAATAATAATAGAGATTCTCATGGTCTAACAGAGCGAAGATTAGACTTCTGGTAAGGTGGCAACGATCAAGGCCCGCATTATAATTCATGATAATTGAAGGTCATAATGTGGAAAAAGCGACTGAAATGGTGGATGCCATGCAATCCTCTCGGGTGGGGGCGGCGTACCTGGCCTTAACGGTTGCCCCTGCGACAGAAGGCAAGCATGTTCAGATTATCCACGGGTTGCTAAATGAGACCGTCCCTTTCTTGGTACCCGTTCCCTGTCTTATAATTAGACTCGGGCAAATTTCTCGAGATTGCACCATCATTTTGGGCTTAAAGCTTCCAAAGTCAAACAATAACAGCGCATGTTCGCGACGGTTTTTTAAATCAGTCAAGTTCTTAAACCATGCCTTAAACGGCCAGTTTTAAGTGTCGATAACAGTTAAAAAGGCATACAAGCCTCATGCAAAAGACAGCGGGAAGGAAGTGCACATCGGTGATGGGGGAAAAGGAGTAGCCCACAGTTACTTAGGGGTGGATCTTTCGAAACATTCTTATACTCTTGGACAGATATGCATTGTTTAAAGTTTCAGACAAACCAGCTGTAAATTTATAGTAACAAACTGTTAAATATACATCAGCAAGATTTTTGCGAATCCTATTTTTCGCTTGCCTGCGTGCAGACGTCTCCTATTTCCTTTGTTGCACGCGGAAAAGGGAGGTCTGCGTAACGCCGTCGCTAATCGTGTTCCAGCGTCCCGCTGGCAGGGTATTCTATTTCGCATAAATTGTGAAATAATATCCGGTTAGAAATAAGAGTTGACAGGCCAAACAAAACGTCATAAGCTCGTGATACGAGCGAAACGTGACCTTGAGAGTCTGCTTGAACAGAGGTTTTTCTTCTTTTCTCTCTCGCGCGAAGATTACTAGCACTACACAGTGCATGTAGCATTCTAACCTTTGACTGAGTAAATCTCATTTTTGCCGCTCATTTAGAGGTCATGAAGCAGGTTTGTTACATGCATACTGAGTAATCATTTCCTGTGGTTTGTGCTTCTGTGGGTGTTCCCGATAGGATTTGATTTCAGATGCAGTTGTAAAGTGTTTAAATTTTCTTGACCTCTGTTTGTTACGGCTAAATAAAGATTTTAGTTTCTTTGGCTGGCTTTCTCTGAAATGCCTGCCTGGTGCGAAGTCCACGCCGCTTTTGTAGTTTTCTCAGACACTGTTCACAAATATGATGTGATGTGTCATGCACAGTAAATTGTAAAGAAATAATTTCCTCGTACACGTTAAACTTTCCGCGTCCCCGCACAAGATTTCGATCGCTCTGCTTTTCGATCGACGAAAAACACAGCACACAATCGCACATGTCTTGATTTGTTTCGGTTAGAAAACCCTGCTTACATAAATCATTTAAATCACCGCATACATTATCAGACCACATTCGATAACAACCAATCAGCGTTAAGTCAAACAATGCGCACTGTGTGTCAGCCTATCGCAGCGTGTTCCCAAGATCTTGGGAACCCAGCAGGACGCTGGAACACGATTAGCGACGGCGTTACGCAGACGTCCCTTTTCCGCGTGCAACAAAGGAAATAGGAGACGTCTGCACGCAGGCAAATTTTTCGCTGGAAACTATCGTTTACTGGCGGGTCACGCAATCAAAGGTCACGTACTTTCCCACGTTTGTTTACTCACCTTTCGCTCAGCAATACACTGCGTTCCACAAAGGATCCAAATTACGCTAGAAATGTTTTGCTATTCGGGCCACTTTTTATCTCAGGTAAGGCATTGCAAAGCTGATTCACTTACGAAGATTCGAGGGAGAATTATTTCTTGATGTTATTCTGATTTCGCAGTCACGGGAAAACAGACCTAGACTCAGGTCCACTCGCAGACGTCATGCTGCAATCTACAAGATCTCAAGAACAGAAATTACCCATTGAACGGCCTCTCCTTTTGAAGATTGCGTGTATTTCATTAAAACAGGTACGTATTAAAAGAATCTTGTTAGTTTCTCCCTTTTAACGAGCTCAAATCGATGCATAAAACTAAGGTGACGTGCACGTGTCAATTGACCCTGGGGTCAATTAGCAGTTGTTTGGGGCAAAATAACCTCAAAATAATCAATCTATTTTACAAGCGTTCGCGAGAACACCAGACTAACTTTCAGATAATGTTGAAGTACTATATCTCATTGGGTAGTAAGCGGGATTTGGGGTGATTTGGAGAATTCCCCCATATAGAAAATTCGATTTTGGTTTTAGCGGTAAATTGTTGTATTTATAAGCATTATGCAAATTACGTTTCAAAATTGTGCTCGTTCGTCGATATTTTACCCTCTAAATCTAAAAATGTGCTGTTTAGAAATTGTTAATAGCTGTTTTTTGAGATTTAAGTGGAAGATTGCCAATATATTCGCTCGTTTATGAAAGTCAGCTCATCTCTGTCGCTAGGCTATATTGCCGTGTTCGGCGGCTAATTTCAGGCCCGCAGACCGTTGAAATCGAAAATCTCAAATAATTCGCAAACTCGGCCGCATTTTGAAATTTAAACCTCAGCAGTGTTATAAACTCATTAAAACCTTATTACAGACTGAAAATGAGGGTAAGTTAGGTTTTGAGCTGTGGCCACGGTTTGCCGATTTTGCTCGATTTTTCTGTGCATTCGCTCTTAACATTACAGGGCTTTTAAAAGCCAGTTCAAATGGTGTTTCACTGAATGCTGCCTGTAATCAGAGGTGGTCGCTTATGAGAGTGTCGCAAGGAGAACTCCGGCTGTAGTTTTAGGACGCTGAAGATGGGAAATAGCTAAATTATCGGAATAAATTAGCATACTTTTAATTATTAAAGTCATTTTTCAAGCCACCTTGCAACAACGCCGGTGTCGGTGGCAAACTTCCTGAACTATTTATTCCGAACCTACCCCTAAAAGCTTTAATACTCTCTTCGCTCTCTTTTTAAACGGGTGTTTTTGAATTTTTGCGTTTCCTAAATGAAAACTAACATTAAATCGTTTAGTTGCACGAATACTATAAGTATAACTGCTCTCAATTACTGTAGTACGTTTGAAGGCCACTTTTGCAGCCGCCATCAGTATTCCCGCCAAAATTAGCACTCAGTTGCTCCAAACCTAAAGAAGGGTCATGTTGGATAAGGGACGATCCTCACTAGTATTTTTTTTTTGCTTGCTTCAGTTGTAAATTTTTTTCCGTGCAATTTCTGTTGTTTTGGTTACCAGCTTTGACGGTTCTGAAGCAATTAAACTGACGCTAACGGCATAAGGGCAAATCCACATTGAGGTCGTTAGTGAGTTATTAGTTTCCATACTCCATGTAGTATCGATGATGTAATTGTGTACGGTCGAAATGAGTTATGGGTAATTAAAAAGCACATGGTGAAGTGTCGAGTTGAATCTGTTGTGTGTGCATTTATTTTGGTTAAATCCGGATGTTTCACTGACCGTGAAACACTACACTCCATACTCGTCAGCTAGTTTTAGCTTGCCGAGAAACAAAATCAGCTTCTGTTGTCAGCGATGAAAACCCTATCTACTGTTTCAGCCAATCCTCGGCGACCTGGTCAGAGTTATTTCAAATGAAGCAGGAAATTAACGGCTGAATTATTGCTAAGTTTATATCTGAACAGAAGGGCTCTTTGAACACTTTTCTTACATCGTTTCCACAAGCATATGATTTATTTTCTCAGTGCTGATTTTCCAGTTCATAATCAGTTTACAGATGTTTGACTGAAACAAATTCCCGCTATAATGGACTCGTGCTAATGAGGACAGTAACTCAAGGTCACAACAGTGTCTGCTGCTCTTTCAAAAACATTTTCCTTCTAAATCAGTCGATGAATGACCGTAGCTTTGTTCTCTTGATTCTTGGGGGAATTTGGGAGCCCTGTTTCTTTTATTTTTTTTTTTCAAGAGTGAAAATAATTTGTTGGGTTTACTTATACACAAAGCGTACAGAATATATTATTTTTACTGAATTACTTACAAAGATAACCTACCTTGGATCCAAAGACTCATCAAAGAACAAAGTAAAAGAAATTTAAGAAAACGAAGTCTCGGATCTTTTCGTACGTAGTCTTTGTCCATGTCTTTAGCCGGTTTTCCTATTTGCCTGCGACGTGCTTTGGTGCCAGTAAAACTTCCTCAATACTTTAACTGACTTCCTTTCTTCATAATAGAACCGCTGAGTAAACCTTTGATAAAGGTTATCATCAGATTAATGATTAATGCCATGTATTTTTAGAAATTATTTGGAAAAGCTCATATTAATGTCTTGAGTGTCAATCTTTGTCTGTAGGGAGTCTTCTTCCAAGTTATTTTTTTCAATTCAGGTATTAATTAAACAAGGTATTTGTGGAAATATATTCAGGTTGAAACGTGTTGCCTTGAATGCGTTTCAAAATACAACGGACATTGGAATTATAGTCCAACCAATTCTACAACCTCGCACAAAACCTGTTGAGAAACAACCCCGTTCCTCTTATCCAATATTGCTTAAGATAACACGAGAATTATACACGTTGGGTTTTAGACCAAAACAACGTTGAATAGAAGATGTGGAAGAGGCTTTCTGTTTCTGTTTAGAGGAGATGTTTGTATGGCGCAAAATTTAGAAAATAGAAGAAACTGTCACAATAGTTTTGTTTGAGGTTGTACTGCGAATTACAATCTGTCAACTTTGGGGGGGGGGGGTCGGGTAAGGAGGAGAGGGGAGTGGTATCTAAGACGTGCAAGTAGAGCAGTAAGTGACATGAATTACAGATAAAATACTAGATATAATACTAAATGACATGCACTATTTGCCTTCTACTTTTATTAGTGGCTGAAGCTGTATTTTTCACCGAAATTTATACAAAAGGAAAAAAAATTGAACTCATTATTCAGAATTTGTGCCCATCGCAATATTCAAATGAAAATAAATGTGGGCTTGCGTGTCAATAACAACGTTGTTAAACAAAAGTCATAGAGCTAGCTGATAATGCATAAGATATTGACATTTATTTTCAAATGAAGATCAAATACAGTTTCAACTTCTATGGCGGAAGGTACAAAGGGCAATTAATATGTATTTTATCTGTAACTGAATCCAAGTCGAAGGAGGGCCTTCTCCAATAAAACTGACGTTAAAACCGAGATGTTTTCATTGTCGACTATCTCAGCTTGATTCAATCTGTCCGTTGGATGTTAGTTACACGAGTTATATGAGGACATGCAGTGAATTGCATTAATTGATCGAAACAGTTGATTACTTGCTTCAAGTCGCTCAAACAGAAAACAGTTATACAGCAAACATGAAGAACGATAGCGTAGGAAAAGATCTCAAAATTTGTTTCCTTAAATTGTTTCTGTATTTTTCTTTGACGACTCTTTGGATTCAAGGTACGTCATCTTTGTAAGACATATAGTAGCATTTTCTCGCTATATGTGTGTCAGTACAGTAAACCGGAAAAAAAATATTCCCTGTTTAGCGTCGCTCTCGGTCCTTGTTTCACAAGTGACAAGAGGCAGGGCATTTCTGCGTTATGTCACTAATGTTTTAAAAAGCTTAAATAAAACCTAACGTAAACTCCCCAGCAAGCACCAAGAAGAAAACAAGGCGGGTTATTTTTCAGCTGTGACAAACGGGTCTGTGTTTGCAAAGTGGACATCGTCTGTAGACGCCACAAAAGTAAACAGAAAATGATTCATTTTCTAATTATTTTTTCTTGCCTTTGCATATAAAAGCTAACTGAAAACGACGTGCGCAATAACAAGAATCGATCGTTAGCAAAAGGGACCGAAACAGTTTCTTACAAATCGTTAATCTTGTCGGTTAATAGAGAAGAAAGATTCACGGGCGATTGACCTCCTAAATGGCAGGAAAATTCGATTGGCAAATAAATTTCTCGCTAACAAAATCACTATATACTATATAGCTGATTATATTCCGCGAGGTCATTCATTGTTTTTTGTTTTAGTTTTTTGTTTGTTTCGTTTCTTTTGTAGCTTTTTATTTTTTTGGGTTGTATCTTGCTTCTTCGTTGATCTGTTAGTTTGTTTTCTTTGGTGGAACCGGTTGGACTAATCAACTTCCCAACGCGATAAAATACAGGCACGAATATAGAATGTAATCTTACAGCCTCGACGTGGCATTGCTCGTTGCATGTTAGGCTCAATTCACCTGCAATTCGTTGAAAAACATTAGAACAACAAAGCAAATATAAACAATATTACAATTTGTATAGCAAGTCAAAAAAATATCTACTGCCTATATCCAGCTCGTTCAACATCCGCTAACAAGGAAGTCATTGATGATTTCGGTGGGAACTGCAACGGAGACTGTGTTAGTGAAGAAAAAGGGCAAGGTTCTGTCCTCACTATACCGGATAAGTCTAAAAATGGAGTATCTGGCACAGTATAAATGGCAGTTGCACGTGCAGTGCTGGAACAAGTCGCTCACAGACATATCGAACATGGTCACTAAATCCCAATCCGTCACTCTGAATATTCACTTCGCCTCTTCTCATATTTTTTTTCGCTACGGTCCCAACACCTGTTACATACATGTATACATAATCTTTATTCAAACACGATAAGTTTTAACTCTATAAAAGCTTGTGGGGTCGTGTGTTTAAGAATTAAACTAACCTAATCTACATCAAAACATATATACAAATTATATATATTATAGGGACACAGTCATCAGTAATACATAAAATCCTGTTGTCTGCATCATATAGCAGTTGCAGACGAACATTCAAACTATAAAATAATCCTCAGCGCTGACACGCTTCCTGAGCTGATTAAAATTCAGGGTCACAGATGCTTCCTTGTCATTGTAGCTAACAAAGTTCCATAACGAAGCACTTCTATATGAGACAGATTCTTTCATGTATCTTGACTCGTACCTTGGTACGAGGAGACGGTTCTGGTCTCGAATTAAGAAAGTGCTAACTCGATTTTTCGATTTCGATTTTTATGTCAGGTAAGGATTCGGTATACGCCGTATTATTTAGTCTAAGAACATCTAACTTATAATAAAAAGAAAAGGTGGGCCACTGAACTGAGCAAGTCCTCCGAAGCCATATCCTTAGGTAAATTGTAGATTATACGTGCCGCTCTACAGTGAACCCTGTTCACACTGCGACGAAGACTGGTAGAAACTTAACCAAAATGTGACAATCCACTTTCAATTGACCACTCCAGAAAATACCATAAGATACCATAATGCTCTTTGTTTGTCACCCAAAAATTTTACATAAGCATTGTCTTCAGTTTCTCTTGGGAGTTAAAATGGCCAGGAGAGAAACTGAAAACAATGTTTATGCAAATTTTTGGGGTGACAAACAAAGAGCATTATGGTATGTTATGGTATTTTCTGGAGTGGTCAATATCGGGGCGGAGCAGCTTCACTCCGACACAGAAATCGCTACCGCACTCACTTTGCATCACACGCTCCACCTGAGGATAGACATGGAGGCCTCTTCACACCCCATAGGAAATTAGCTCATGGACTGAGCTTGACGATGAGACCAACCAAGACGGCAAGTCTCCTATGAAAATTCTCACCGCTGGGGATATTCTGGGTCTTTTTGAGGAACGTTTTCTAAAATTCGGCTACATGTACATTATAGGCGATCAAAGGACTTCGACGGTAAACAATTTTTCCGTGGAGCGTTCATAGGCGGAAATAATCTTGTTTTCAATCCAGAAACTAATTCCTTGTTGTTTCGTGAATTCTTGCCTTGCCTAAAACAACATCCGTGTATGATGCGTCGGAAATTAAGGAGATCAAAAAATTCATTAATGCGGAGGTATTTATTACTGATTATGACGAAAATAGTTTCGATCAACAACAACAACAAGTTTTATTTTCATTACTATAACAAAGTATTACAGTATTGCAAAAGCTACTTGAATTTAATTATTGATTCCTTTTTAAATTAAATATTTAAAATATTAACTTTAAATATAATAATCATTGGTTATTTTCAGCCATCAGTAGGATTAATTATTCCGATCATTTGCTGAGGGATAAGACTGAGTGTCAAATCAGCCATTGCAAAGCTATCTTTTGAGAAGCCCATTACTTTACCAAAGAACAATAACCAACCAAAAGACATTCATGGGCTAGGATAGTGACTTTTACTCGGATAGTAGGTTTGTCAAGAGTTCCTGTGGAGGTTTCTGTCAGTTGATGAATGCTTGGGTCAATTTAGGTTTCTGGGAAACTGTCCACCTACCCCTCCTCTAAGCTAACATTAACACTTACTTCTCGCTTAGTGCAAAATGATGGCTTAGGGGAGGGGTAGGTGGGCAGTTTCCCAGAAAGCGAAATTGCGAATGTTTGATGAAATAAAGAATTTCCCTTTTTATTCTTTCCTTATTTACGCCATAGATGTGTCACCCACAGGTACCCTAGACTGTGAAATAAGTGCACAGAAATGTCAACCTCCTTTGGAGACAAAAACCCGTACAGTAACACCAAAAGACCATAAAGTGACTTGAAACTGCTCGATTAAGAATGGGGGAAAAGTACAAGACATGACCTGGCAGAACGTTGAAAAACACCTCAATGCCAGTGACGCCGGTCTGTTCTTACAACAAATCGATTCAAAGAATAGAAGTCAGCCACTTGAATGTTTTTCTATGAAATACGCCAGTGAGTATGTTCTTCAGTTTTTTTGTGTGCGTCTTATTTTTGACGTAATATATCAAACATGAGATGCAGTGTTTCATCTGGTGATGAAACACTGTGTCGAATGTTTGATATTTCTTCTCAAACAAAATCATTTTTGAAGGAGAAATTAAGGATGCAAATACTAAGCAGTGTTTCATCCGATTTCCAAACACTCATTAAACATTAATTTCCTTTGTATTTTCTTAGTGAATTATTAATGAGTTTGAGAATGGATTATAACGCATCCTATGAATGCCTCGTAACAGGCTTAGGCATATTCAAGTTCAGCTGAGGTAATTTTTACGGTTGGATTGATCGTAAAAACGGTTGAAGTTATAGCCAGCTAAATCACCTCACTTAAACATGGTTCACCGCGAAACTCTAGTTGCTCATGCCATGCTTGAGGGCAAGAAAAGCAAAGGGACATGACAAACAATAAACAAAGGAATCATTTCAAATGATGTTAGCTTTTTGTTTGGCTTGACTCAGTGCGCAGGGCCTCGCTCTCCAGCATGGCAGGTTTGTGCCAAAAAAATGACTAACTGCAAAGGGCCTATTCAACATGAACAAGGCATGGAGTAAAACATGGTTGGTCCGTTTGACTGTAGGTATCTTAAAAATCGTGAGCTAAGCAACGACGATGACGACGGCAGTGAAAATGTCGCTAAAAAATTAAATTTGCCTCATTTCAAATGTTATCGCGTCTATTTGGAGCTGCTTAATTTGTCAAATGTAGGCGATTTCTCTTGGAGTTGAATTCCTAAGGACTTTATCCAGGTTCAGAAAGGAAAAGGAGAATTCGTCGTCGTATGTTCACTTTCTCTATAAAACGTCGCATTAGGAGGTTTCACTTCATAGTCGTGCGGTGAACGTCAAAGCAATGTACTAAGAAGCTTATTATTATTATTGTATATGTCATTGATGCACGTGCAGCAACTGTTGTTTTCATGTTAAAGCTAATTGTTTTTTGACGTTGTCGTCGTGGTGGTTAAGATTTTCACATTTCAGATTTTGATATTTTTTTGCACTAATTCAAGAGGTTGCTATAAAAATTACAAATATATTACAAAAACAAGAAGAAAAAAAAACAGCAAATTACATAATCCTGATCGAATTAAAGGTGAAATGTGCGCAGTGGCCAAAGGAGCTTAGGCTTTCGAGCTGGTCACTTAATTAAGCTTCCTAGCTTAAATGACTGGGTGCATGACTTACGAGCTTTGAAATTAAGAGGAAGAATTCCTTCTCAGTTCCAGTTAAGAGAGTATCGAAGACAATTTCTGCCGTTGACTACCATCCTGACACGAGCGAAATGGAACTGAAGTGTACCTTCAAGGGATGGCCTCGTCCTCGTGTAGTTTGGTACAATCCAGATAACAAACAAATCATCAACGGATCTGAAGGTTTTTACATCTCAGAGCAGCTGGATCGAAAAGATACCTTAACTTCCCTTCTCCGCAATGCTAATATCCAAGAAAAACAAGCAAGGGATTATCAATGCACTGGAATGAACAACATTACCGGCTGGTCGACTAAAAAATCAGGGATAATTGAGCTGAATCATCGCTGTGAGTCATTTTTAAAATTTCTTATTTCTTTTTATAAACACCGATGCACAAAAACCACCTTAGATAATGATAATGCCGTGTTTGCTCTGTAAGCAATAGAAAGTATCCCATTTAGACCAAGAGGGACAGCTCATTCTCTCTGAATTTAAAAGAATATAACTGAAAATTTCGTGCCACCTTCCTCTTCCATTCAGACAAATTGGACCCTGGAATTTTTATTTGTTTACCCCTCGGGTCGCAAGGGATAAGTAAATAAGTAAATAAATAAATAAATAAATAAATAACGATTTAGTGGCGTTAGCTCATCCACAAAGTGGTTCTTTGTCTACCATTCTGGGTCAAATTTACCCTGCGCAGCTGGCGGGATTAACGTGGGAGTGATGTGTTGTTTTGGCGGCGATGGCGGAATAAGGGTGAGAAGAAACAAAACTCAACCAGGCCGGCCACATGTGATGCTGCCTGAGGAATCAAGCACAGGACAGTCATTAATGAGAGGGGAGGGTTCTCACCTGAAATACAGTAGGACCTCTATATAACGAAGTCCTCGGTATAATTAACAATTATTACATGAGTGTGCTTTGGATGTGAGATGGTAGCCGCGAGTGGAATAATTGTTCTATTAAAAACGCCCACAAACATCGAGAATTCGTCCCGACTTTATTTGTAAAAACAACGCATACAGTTACCATATTTGGAGAGCATGGTATAATTAACAATTGATGAATGAGGCTGAGTATGGAGATCGAGGAGAGTGTTATCCGTCGAGACCGTAGGCCGAGGCAGATAACACCCTCCGAGATCTCCATAATTCTTCATATGATACGAAAGCCGAATCCAATAATTGTTTTATTTATTATTCATTCAAAATAATTCCTAGTTTAAAAACATGACTAAAACATGCTTACCTCTATCAATGTTAAGTTCATCCTCGACAGTGCACGTTTAGGGTTGTGCAGCTCGGCAAATATTCTCCAAATAGCAGATGTCGCCCTTCGAGTTGTCGTCTTGCTGTTCTTGCCATGTTTTAAGCTATTTTTTTGCCTTCTTCTTGCTTTTGAAATCAGTGAAATGTCTTTGATTTTGTTTTCACAACCAAAACAACTCAATCTTGTCCCCAGGTCTTCTCGGTTAAAGGTCAATAGCTGGTTATTACGAATTATGCGTGTACTTTTAGCCAATCAGAATCGGGGAAATATTTTGAATGATTAATAATGAGTCATATACCATGATGTCTAAGCCAATTAGAGCACTAGAATTGCATTATCCAATGATTCAATTCTTAATAGTAAGCGATACTCTCCACCCCAGAAATAATACAGTGAAACCCCGTAAATCCCGACACTGAAGGGGCCGTACTAAGAAAGAGTCCGTATTAACGGGGTGACCTTATTAATCGGGTTGAAAATGAAAGGGCTTTCTTTCCCCAGGGACAAAGCCAACTGTCCATAACAATGAGATGTCTGTATTGAGCGGGTTTCCAGACTGGAGAGGGGTTTGACTGTACAATAAATAAAAGGAACCTCGATATAACAAAACCTCTTTATAGTGAGGATATTTTGCCAGTCCTTTGGGTCTTCGTTCACCTGTTCGTTATTATATATCGAGATTCCAATGTAAACTGTTGTGTGGTTGTTAAAAAGAGAAAACGAGACGCCGTTTAGCTATTGAAATCAACCCTTAGTAGCACAGGCCATATTGGTGGGAGGTAACAGAAGTGGGGTTCATCCTATCAACCGATCGTTAGAGCGCCTCTAAAGACGGCGTGACGAAACAAGTCGCAAAGGAGGAAACCAGTGGGATAAACAAAATCAACACGTAAAAACTCCAAAGCGTTGTGATGCCCCATATATTGTCACAAATACACAGGAGGGGAGGGTAAGAGTAAGAATGTTACCCCCTACGGTTGCACAAAAAAATGGTAACGATTTTCAAATAATATTTGCTCGTTTTGTCTTCTTATCATCTGATACAGGTTTACAGTCTAAAGCTCCGCAGATTTCTTCTCCCGTGGTTTCGGTGACAGCCTACTTCAATGTCAGTTTAAAGTGCTTAGTATCTGTTAGGCCAAGCGACTGTTTGGACAATTCTTTACGGTGGTATTTTAACAACAACTCAGTGAAATTAAAATCTGGTGAAAAGTATGATATACAAGAAAGGACAACCAACACCAAATGCAAAAAAGATTTCATTCCCACCATTGTTAACGTTACTGATGCAGACGAAGGAAAGTATAAATGTGAGTGGCTCTGCGAGAATAACGACCCCAGCTTTTCCAGGTCTTCAATTATCCGGTTGAAAGTATATCCTCCAGAAGAAGGTACTGATACTCTTGTGATATCTAAAGGTCTTGTGTCACGAAATTTATCATTGAATTCAAAAAGTGAAAAACCCCACCAAATTGAGTGAAGCAAGAAAATAACCGCTCAAAACCCCGGGGAGGGGGATGTACTTAGGAAAATGTTTGCTGGGTATATGCTGCTGGCATCTCAGAGCCCCTACCCCATTATAGTCTATTCTGTGGCCAATTATAGACCCCATCTTAGTCACTTTTGGGCAAATGTGTAATTTTCGCGATCCCAAATTAGTCGCTTTCTATTTTTATGAATTGACCCATTTTTTAGATTGAATTAAGAGCACTTTACTTCTCATCTGCATTACAAACATTCTGGTACGTTTGCTAACCATAAATATGGAGAACTGTCTTACCCCAAAAAATCCGAAAATGTGCGACCCCATTATAGTCAATCCAGTCATGAAAATGGGGCCCCATCCAGCGGCACATCCCCATTATCCTCTTATTAGGAAGTACCCCCCCCCCCCTCCCCGGTTCAAAACAGTAATACAGAAAATGCAAAAAGAGTCATGTATGGACAAGCTTGAAGGGTTGAAACTGATTGCAACTGAGTGTTTCATTAGAAAACGAATTCGAAGAATCCATTCCGAAGAATAACTCGCAATTGTGTAACAGTAATTTGATCTAATTTCATTCGATCTGAAATCAAATTGTACAAATATATTCTATTCAATAAGTGTAATCAAAACAATAATTGATAAATGAAACTAGATAAAGCGGAATAAATGCCGATAAAAGCTAAACGTTGATACAAGCGAAATCGCGTGGTTCTTGAAAGAAACAAAGTCAATTTAAGCTACTTTAAGTCTGTTTAAAAGGTAACCAGAGAAAAAAACTAAATTAACAAAACGAAGCTAACATACAGTTCACTTACTTCACTGTCGACTGTTTTCTTAAATGTCCTTGAATAAGCATTAAATCGGTCCGGATAACAGGTAAAATCCTCCTCAGTGTTAACCCTTTGATCCTTGAAGTACGGCGGTCGGTAAAAAACTTATAAAAACTCGAACAAAGCGGGTACTTTTGTGGTTCCTGTTGGGCGTTTACGGTTTCCCTACTTTTGCCTGCTAGATTAAATATAAAAATTCCTTGAATAGTTATTTTACTAAGTTAACACTGAGGTTTTTGGAAACTCAAATAGCCTAAACGTTTTTCAAAATTCATTTTTTTGTCTGTAACTTTTGATACAATGTTTGGGGAACAAATGTGTTTGACATGAAGCAGCGATTTTGTCATTTGCAAGTGATTTCTTAACTTACGCTGAGCTCCATTGAGAATAAGGACATATTTGGCAAAATTATCAAAATGAACCAGCAAACCATGACGTCACAGCCCATTTGTTCCGGTGAGAGGGTACTCCCTTTGTAAGAGAATTGTTTAAAACCATTTGGGTCTGAACCAGGGAAAGGTTTTGCGCCGTTTGGATACAGGGTCTGAATTATATGTTCGTGCATGAGTTTTTTATATTTTTGTTGTTGCTACTGTTTTAATCATCCTCCTTCAGGTCTGTGAATAGGGAAGGAAAAGTCGTACTTGTTGAAACAGGTGGACAGCGAATTCCATAAATACGTGAACTTGAAATTTCCTTTTAAACGGATAGGGCGATTGGAGGGTAAAGTTTACTTCTGTTTTTGAAATAATTATAGTGTAAATTATAGCTGAAATTTCTACTCGTGCGGCTATTTATTACTAGGTGCCAGACAGTAACTCTGTAGCAATACCCATACAGAGGACGGCGACTCGTAACACCCTCCTTTATCTGCATAATCGTTTCACATGATACAATAGTCGAATCAGAATCCAGCTTCTGGGTTGAGTAATCAGTATTAGGTTCCAGACCTCTTATATTTTAGGGCAGGTTTTGCACATGCGCAGTTTCATTAAAAGAATGACTGGCAAATGGTTCTTTTTTTGTTGTTGTTTAAGACTAGAATATTACAATTTTGTCGACGAGGATGGCGCTTGTAGGTCGAGTTGGAGAGTATGTGGACGGTAAAGAAGATATTGCAAGTTATATCGAAAGAGTGGAATTGTTTTTTGCGGCAAATTATGTCAAGGCGGATTACAAAGTTGCTACGTTTATAGCCTTTATCGGATCAGATGCATATGGCGTGCTGCGATATATGTTAGCTCCTGAACGTCCAAAATAGGCTTTTGTGCAATAGTATGAAAAGCTGACTGAACGATTTGGAAACCCAGCCCTAATTTCAAAGTCAGTGATCAATAAGTTCCTGGAGATATCAGCAGATCAGGATGAAAACAATTTGACAACTCGCGCAACATTGTGAGAACATTCATGGAGCAGGCTTTAGACCAGGAACTAATATGCAGCAGATTGTTGCAAAGCTACCTCCAAAAATTGTCGTAAGGTGAAGCAGGCAAAAGTTAAAGCTACAGCCCAAATAAGTTGACCTTAGCGACGTAGATGAGTGGCTGAAATCGAGAGTCAAGTCAAACTGATAGCCTTTGGTTGCTCCAGTAATTTAGAGAATCCTGAACAAGAGAAACCCAAGTCAAATTCAAATAAATCGAAGTGGCTCAGGAGAAAGAACATGCGAAGACTCATGTAATGTTTTGTGAGCTAAGAAAACCATGTACTGACATTGTATGAAACCTGGAAGAATCAACTGTAAGTAAAGGATGGTAATTGTAAGAGAAGTTGGGTTTCTGCTTTAGATGCCACAGTAGAGGACATCGTCGGCTGAGATATTCCAATCCTCGCAAGAAGCCACAGGAGAGACGTCATCACCTGGAGTACCAACTAATCACACGAGCTCATCAGCGTACGGGGCGGGGTGGGGGGGGGGGCTGCAGCCCCCCTTGTCGGAAAAAAATAGTATTATTCGGGCAAAACTGATGTACCGTTCGGGCAATTAAAGACACAGTAAAAAATATTTTATTATTTAATATCTTGATTTATTTGTTTTCATTCCGCATCTCGCCTAATCTTCTAACTGATCTCTGTACTACTTCACGGGATGGCTGTTATTACTCGGAGTTGGAACATTGAGTTCTGCCGAGGGGCTGGGAGTGATAATCAAGACCGCGCTGGGACTGGAACTGCGTATGAGTTGGCGGCCATGTTGATTTATGTCAGTTCTCGAGTGCATGTGCATGTAATCTGGTGGATTGAAGTATGTCTTTGTCGAAGTCTCGTAAAAGATCATATCGATACCGTGTGAAATGTGAAGAATGCGAGAAAGAATTTGACTCCGACTATGTAGAAGCTCATTCCGGAATTGTTCCCAGCGGCCGAAAAGTGAAGTATCGCCGTTATTAACACTGAAAGAAAGTATGCAAACAAGACAATGCAGAATAACATGCAAAGGATTATTGACATATTTGGGTGTCGAAGTAATCGTTCTTCATACTTCTTTTAGAGCTCAAATGGGTACGTTTTATCTCTCACTTCATGGTTTTGTATTTTACAAATGTTCATCTCGATTTATTGAAAATATTTGCACTATTTTGAACGCCTGTGCTCTCACGGCATGGCGAAGAAAACTTGACGTCACGAAAGAATCATCTTGTGCATCTGTGACCAACAAGTTTCATTGGGGCAAATTATATTCCCCCCACCCCCCCAACAAAATTTTTCCCGTTCGCCGCTGCACGAGCTGTTGAGGTTCTGAAGACTTGAACCGTTAAGTGTACCACGCCCTGAAAGGGTAGCGCTGCAGATGATACCCACCATGGTACCTGGGTCTCGGTCTGGGTCTGGGTCTGGGTCGTCCTTCCTCAAGAGGAGATCGCTGACATACTGGGTTTGTACGCACTCTGTGTTGCTGCTTTTGGAGTGAAGTCGAATGTAGCGGATAGCAGCCTTGAGGGTATGAATTGGAGCAACAAGAAGCAATTATTTTTTGTTGAAATTTGTGAAATGAAAGCAATTGATTGGTCCGTCAATGCAAGAAATTAGATTATAATCGCGACCTGGAGATCATAAAGCCAGTTCAACATATAGAAGTTGATTGAGAAGTGATTGTTATGAGGAACTCATTTTACCACTTGAATATCGCAAAGGACATCTGGGGAAGCCTGTAAGAGTAAAGAAAGCCACTCAGATAGACAATAGTTGGAAATGTCTCGGAGGAAGCAAACGAGTTTCATGAGGCTTGCCATGTTTAACCATACCATATAACCTTTACTCCAGAAATGAGGGCCGATGAGATAATGCAGGGAATGTGGGACGAAGACGTTGCGGGAATTGCTGATCAAAACAAGCGCTTGACAGCAGAGGAGGTGCTTACTGCGCGCACAGGCACAATCAAGGCGTTATGCTGAGGGGCTATTAGGTGGCAATTCCATGGAAGGACGAAGATACGCCGTTGTGTTCAAACAGAAAGACTCCTGGAGACCGACTTATCTATTGAGAAAAACCTTCAGCCAAGGCTGGAGGTTGCTGAGAAATACTGCCAGGTTATAGAAGCCAAGGTATGAAAAAATGAATCCAAGGGTTACTTTCGGATTACATCCAGTTGGTACCTGCCTCATTTTCATGTAGTGAGAGAAGACAAAGAGACCACTAAAGTGAGGATAGTGACGATTCAGTAGCCATATACGGAGGTTATCCATATACGGATAGCCATATACGGCAGTTATCTTGTTGCCCTGGTAGCAGATCTGACGGAAATTTGAGGTTGGAGGTTACACCTCTCTAGACTTCCAGAAGTCTATGAAGCAATGAGCTTGACGTTCGTTGACCGCGCCTCACTTTACCTTGCCCAGTACGTTGTGCGACAACATGCAGAAGATAACAGAAATGACCACCCGCTAGCAATAGCCATAATCCTATTACAGGTGTACGTGGATGACATTATGACTTCATTGAGCACTAACGATGAAGCGATTAAAGTTCGAGAAGAGCTTAGGGAGCCACTTGGCAAGGCAAACTTCAAAATGCGGTCTGGGTGTAGTCACAGGCCAGAAATACCTTTCATGAAAGCATAAGGAAAGCAATAAGATGATGAGACGGATGTGTTTAACCTTTTTCAAGTTGAATCCCTTGCAGGATGTTGTCTATGCTAGGCGAAGGTTCGTAAAGAAATTTTCTATGCTTTTTACCCATTACAGGAAGGATGGATTTGCAGGGAGCATAGTTACTGGGTTTAAAATAGGACGACTTAAAGTACACGTATCCAGAATAAATTATTAATGATTCAGTGAGTTACGAGAATGTTTTGAGGACATTTTTCAAGGTGCTATCGCATTGCTGAGAACATTGTTGTTTACACATCTATTCATACAGCGGGGGACGCGTCGCTGTTGGAATATGTAGATGTAACTTACGTTGGGCACAAATATGAAGATTCAGCTCGAGGAGGAAAAGGGAAGCAAGTTAGAGCTCTTGGCAAGAAAGAAAGGTGTAAGAGTTGTTAGAGATTCCCTTCGAAAGCTGTACCGTGACACGCTGAACAGACAGTAAGGGCGTTTTTTTCTGGATCCAGAGTCAGTCGAGGAGGTCTTAGACTTCTGTCGCCAACGGAATATTTAATAATTATTCCTCGAACCCGAATGGGCTCTGATTCAATAGTCCATGAGGCCAATCCCGAATGGGTTATTGACTCAGAGGCCATGAAGGCGAGAGGAATGATTGTTTTTGTAAAATCCATTTAGTTGGTAAAAAAACATCGAGACAAAACAACTAGCTAGTTAAAGCTAGACTTTAATCCTTTTTTGCCGCCAAAAAGCCGGCGCTTTTCGCTACTAATGGGCTATAACATATAGCCTAGTAGTAGCTCAACCAGTCAGAACGCAGCATTGATAATAGATCACCACTATTTGGATTTTACTAACAGATTTATCAGACGCCTAACCCTAGACAGTGGAGACAAGTACAAGACTTTTCTTGCCAACCGAGTATCAAAGATTCATCAGACGCCTCACCACAGATAGTGAAGAGACTTACAAGACTTTTTACGCCAACTGAGTATTGGAAATAATCAAACGTATATCTAGAACCTCAATGAATTGACGTTTGATCCCAGGAGCCGTTGGATACTGATTCTTAACCTGGTAAAGCTGTTCTGGAGGCACTGGAGAAAAGAGTTTCTGGCAACACTTAATACCCAAATGAAATGGAGGGAGGCGACGGACAACCTAAAAGTTGGGGGTGTTGTGTTCGTTGTCGATCAAAATGCTCCAATCGGTCGGTGGTAGTTCTTCCGCATCAGGATGGACAGGTACGCGCTTTGCAAGAAGCTTATCCACCCAACAACACGACTGTGTTTATTGAACGTCGCTGACCAGCCATAGTCCTAAAGAGAGGAGCTGAGCATCTGGAACTCCTTGTAAGCTCCAGGTGATACCCCTGCGTAGGGGACTGGAACTAGTCAAGTAAAAAGTTCCCTAAGAACCTGGAAAATTGGCTGTTGTGTGTTCTTGTTTGAACCAAGCTTTGGAACAGAATTTCTCACGCCTGAGAAAATCCAAAAGACGAGTTTCATACGGCCATGTATGTTCCAGGTTTCCGCAGGTATACCACACCTTCCAGGGGCTACACCTTCCTTTACTACGCGCGTTGATGGCATCCAACAGTTCGTTGAATTCATGTTTTTCCTCAAGGAATGCAATGTTTACGGGTCAGCAAACAGAACTATACCAGGAAACGCGTCGGCGAAACAGGTCAGCACGACATCAGTATATGCATTTCCGTGGAATAACTGCGAGTTTGCTAGATTTACGCCCACTCTTAGGTCTGCTCTAATGTTCCTCCCCGAGAAGGGACTTTTCGGGGGTTCATTTCCCAAACAGCGGCTGGTAATCAAGCCTAATTGCGAGCCAAAGTTATTCGAACTCAGGGGCTCTCAGGGGTTGAGCTTTTTCGAACTGTTATCAGCGAAACAACCGTAAAACAGATTACTTTTAATATTAAATCGGTGTTAGAAAAATGCTGATGATATTACTTACAGTCGGAAATATGCAGTAAGAATACTTCTAGAAAAACACTCGATTTGTTAAAAACAGGGACGGCATGGAATCGTTGGGAAATGATGACGTTTCATCCCCGAGCTCCCCCAAGTATGAAATGGTTAGGGATGACGTAAAACAGAAAATGCCCGAAGGTCCGCTTGGGTTGATTTTGTGACATTTACTGGACCTTTATACTTCTACTTGTGCGCGTTTCGTCTGTTCAGTGACATTTTGTGAAGCAGCTGTTTTGAAGCTATTAAAAAAAATGCAATTTACATTCCTTTGTCTCATTTTGTTCTCTTAAACAAGCGTCATAAACTCTGACCACGAAAGAGAAAATATCGAGTTTGACCAAAATTATGGACCGAAAGACACTCAGTAAGCCTGGATTTACGTTTTGAGAGGCGAATAACAGTGTATAAGCACTTTGAGGGTTTGCCAGACACATGTTTATCATTCAAAAATCTTCTTTTGGATTAGCTCTCCCTCGCTTCATGAAACTCATCCCGATACAATCGATACAAGTAAATCTTTGATTGGAAACGATTTTACGGACATACCTAAATCACTTTGAGGAAATTATTGAGAGGCTCAGTCTAAAAACAAGCAAGTTGCATGAAGAGAACGCTTGAATCAAGCTAGCTTATTAGCAGAAGGATGCACGACATTTGCCTTCAATTCATTTCTGTGCTGACGTATTCCCTCTTTACAAATTTCCCTTTTCATTTCCAAATTCTTTCTCCGGCTGTTAAAATGAATTGCATGTAAAAAGTGCAAGAGGAATAAAGGAAGTTACACCTTCTAATAAAATCTTTCCTTATAGTTAAAATGATTCTTGAAACTGAGAGTGTTTTGATCAAAGCAGTGTAAATCGATTTGAATCAGTGCATGGAATCCTGCGTTTTTGTTTTTATCTCCCCAATATGATATCAATATGAACCTGTAAATTTCAAAGAGCTACACAAGAGTCATACAAAGGCAAAAGATACAATTGACCGAAAAAAAAAGGGACGTTGTAATGTCAACTACATTAAACACCCGCATATATAATTTATAAGAACCAACACTGTAACTCATATGTCTACTTATATAAGTAATCGTATTTGTTTCTCTTTTCATTTAAAATTTCCTTTTTTATGTATCGATGAAAGTAATATGTTGGGGTTTCCCCCTTACCAACTTTATTTGCAGATTCTTCGACACCATCGTCACAAAAGACCACTAGCTCAACTTCAACAGGTTAGTGATGTTAAGGGGTGGTCACTAAGTATAGTGTTACAATGGGACTAATTGCAGTGGCGGATCCAGACCGTCATATAGGGGGCGCGGTCATCCAGACCCTGAGATAGGGGATGGGGGGCGTAAAAAAAATTTTTTTCGACCTATCAGGCCTCAGTTTGGTACAAAAATAACGGGGAGGCCCGGCCCCCCAGGGCCCCTTCCCTGGATCCGCCTCTGAACTGCCAAACAAATCTAAAAATAGTATCCAGATCTTACACACCGTATTCACAAATGGCGGACACGCGGGAAAAAACTGGCGCCTAGTCATGAAAGCGAGGCGTTGGAGGGTAAACAACAATTGCAAATGAAGACTTTCAGTGAACTTGCAGAGTGTGTAGCACGGATTCCACCAAAAATAACTTTGTACGGACTTCTTTTTAAATACAATTACGTGGGATGTCTTCTGCTTTTAATTTTTAGTATTGATTTGCTGTTTGCAATCAAAAGGGACGCGTATATCTTCAAGGAAACAGGATGATTTTGTAGGTTTCCGAAGATCTCCGAAGCGTCAGAAGCTCGGCAAGTGGGCGATGGCTGGAGAAAAGCCGCAAACATGTTGGCCCAAGCTTCACACTGAAACCGAGTTCGAAAGCCAGCTCACTGCAATTCGGTAAAACAGAAATATAAACAATGCAAATCTTGGTGGCAAGAAAAAAAGAAATAAGCGACAAATATATGGCCTACTTGTTAACGCAAGAGACGTGTGCCATTGAACAAAACAGTTCAAGTCGAGATGGAAAAAAGGAAGACTGGAAAGAAGCGGTGACTGAGGTTTCGATGAAGTCATGTTTGGTTTTTGTTTGCCAGGACGTTATTCTCTGGTCTTAATCGATGAAGGACATCAATTAGAACTATTTTTTTAGTATAAATGCAGGAGCGATCGAGTGGACTACCCTCAAAATTTCAACTTGTTACTCGGCAGACTCGGTAAGCCGGCCACATATCATTTCAGCGAGTAATTTTCCTATTTCTTATCTTTAGCTGTTAGGAGTTTTAACTTCATGTTCCATAATATTTTAAAGGTGAAGAATACGTAAATAAATAAAATGATGGTCTTCTTCAGCGGATCCAGGCTCGAATTTAATAATTTAATGATTCGAAACAGAAGCTTGCCGTGTTCAGTCCTGACACAAACATTGCCTTAAAAGTTTAACCCAGTAAAATGTGAACTTTATACCACTTTTTTACCAAGAGCTCTCCGAGATAATGCCCTTAAGGAGACCAGGCAAATAGCAAGCCATAAGATTGCCACACTAGAGCTTCTAGTTTTGATAAAATTATTTTATTTCGCAATGACAAAGAAATCAAAAGATTTTTGCTAAGCTCTGCCAACGTACCTCTAACAATTCACTCCAAAGCGACGGAATTAATATCATCCAAAGGAAGTTGTAAATACAGACATACATAGATATGTATAAAATGACACTGACATGAATGAATGAGTCTCGTGAATGAATCTTTCACCCGCTCTCGACTTGACCTGTTTTGTGTAATAGCGGAGGTCTCTTCCGTTGACAAGTTGGCCATATATCCGTCGCTTATTTCTTTTTTTCTTGCCACCAATATCTGTTTTTACTTCTGTTTTACAGAATTGCAATGAGCTGGCTTTCGTATTCGGTTTCAGCGTGAAGTTTGGGCCAACACGTTTGCCGCTTTTCTCCCGCCATCGCCCACTTGTCGAGCTTCTGAGGCTTCGGCAACCTACAAAATCATCCTGTTTCCTTGAAGATATACGCGTCCCTTTTGATTGCAAACAGCAAATCAGTACTAAACATTAAAAGCAGAAGGCGTCCCACGTCATTGCATTTGAAAAGACGTCCATACAAAGTTATTTTAGGTGGAATCCGTGCTAAACACTCTGCAAGTTCACTGAAAGTCTTCATTTGCAATTTTTGTTTACCCTCCAACGCCTCGCTTTCATGACTAGGCACCAGTTTTTTCCCGCGTGTCCGCCATTTGTGAATACGGTGTATCGCTTTTCAAATAACACGAAACAATGGAAGAAAACAGAACCACCCTAAGTCGGCCCCTGAGTCGCGGGACTGTTATGGGAATTCAAAAGTAATTACCGGGTGTCAGTAAACCGCAGGGTCGCGGCCGGGGCCGAGGTCGGGGTCTATTTCTTTATTTAAAGAATACTGTTTTAGGGTTAGGATTAGGGTTATGCTAGGGTTAGGGTTAGGATTAGTGTCAACTCGAACCCTAACCCTAAAACAGTATTCTTTAAAAAGAAGATAGGCCCCGACCCAAGTTCTACTGACACCCGTAATTACCAACAAGTTGCATCGTGCTCCAGTCTAAAGACACATTTTCACAAACTCATATGTTTACCTCAATTAGTAATCGTATTTGTTTCTCTTTTCATTTGAAATTTCCTTTTTTATTGTATCGATGAAAGTAATATGTTGAGGACGTTTCCCTTTATCAACTTCATTTGCAGATTCCTCGACACCATCGTCACAAAAGACCACTAACTCAACTTCAACAGGTCAGTGATGTTAAGGGGTGGTCACTAAGTATAGTGTTACAATGGGACTAATTGTACGTAGTGGCGGATCCAGACCTTCAGATAAGGGGGGGGGGGCATCCAGACCCTGAGATAAGGGGAGGCGGCCTTAAAAATTTTTTTTCTACCTATCAGGCCTCAGTTTGGTCCAAAAATAACGGGGTCGGGGTCTATTTCTTTATTTAAAGAATACTGTTTTAGGGTTAGGATTAGGGTTAGGGTTAGTGTCAACTCCAACCCTAACCCTAACCCTAAAACAGTATTCTTTAAAAAGAAGATAGACCCCGACCGGCGTTCTACTGACACCCGTAATTACCAACATAAATTTAAATGGCTAAAAAAAATAATAAAATAAAACCAGGATAGTCTGCCGAGTTACAAGGCGCCCCATTTTCTTAGAAATGTCGCTATCATGAAAGAAACGTCCTTTTCCTGCGATTCCACTTGAACAAATGATCGCCACGCGCTTTCCCGATCTCATCAGCTCTTTGTATATTTCCTTAACCAAAAACGATTTTCCCGTACCACCCTAGCCTGTTATAAAGACATTATGTCGCAGTCGAACCATATTCAGCACCTGGCGCTGGTCCTCAGAAAGTCTATCAAACATCAATAGGGCAAGGTTATAAGTGCAAAGGAAATAACAACGAAGAAAGATTTACAAAACTTAAAACGAGCAAAAGATATAAGTGAATTTTGGCTCTTACGGCGGCATTTGTACAACAGGACCAAATTTAAAGAGAGGTCGGTCACGATGGTTCACATATTTAAGTGATGGAACGTTCAGTTGTATTGACAAGAAGTCCGCGTCTTACGGCCGCATTAATCACTAAATATGTTAATCGCGCTAATTCTTTGTTTACTGGTGCACATGCCTTTCACATTCGTCTCAGTTATCGCAATTCATATTCTGTCCTAATTTTCTGTAACAGATGTCAATTTAGTGTCAATTTAGCGTCAAAGTACTTTTGGAGTACAGACTAATAATCGTAGAAATACAGATTCTAGAGGGTGTGAATGGGGTTAACCGACTAGCGACAAAGGGCTAAAAACATTACTGACTACCGACAAAACGAGTAAAAAATTACCGACTACCGACAGGAAAAATATTAACCGACTACCGACATGGGCTGACATTATCAATATTTGTTTCAGAAAAAAAAGAGCATTTTGCATTTTTTTCCAGCCGTTAGGAAGTAACCTCTTTAAATTTATGACTCATCAGATGGTCTAACAGAAAGAACTTCCTCTTTTGTTGATACGGCTACATTACTACAACCAATATCATAATCACAGAAGCCACAGTCCTTAAAGATACTACCCACTTTATATATTTTATTGAAAAGACAAAGCTGATAAAACTGAACATTTCTTGTTTCGGTCCGAGAAATGTTTAGATTAATCCTAAAAGAAAATTCTTTCCAGTTTAATGGAAAGCACTATCAGTAAGAAACCACAGTACCGCGATGAGCACATACAGCAGTTTCCTTTCCAACATTTTCATGGCCGCATATATTGAAACACAAAGTTTAAGCAAAACCGTCTTTAAACCAACTGTTTGAAAATGCTACATAGATGATATTTTTTTCCCTATGGGACATAAATAAACCAGACATGGTAGATTTCTTCAAATTCACGGAACAAGTAAACTTACTTCACCCTACTGGCTATGAAATTTACGCCCGAAATATCTGACTCTGAGACAATCTTTTTAGACCCCGTTGTATACCAAGTCACAACATTCAACGAAAAATGCGAAAAAGCTATCATTGACGTAAAGACGAATTTAAACGGAAACCTTCCAGTATATACATTTTCACCTCTTACCACCCACCGAATGTTAAAATGGATTTGACCAATTTTTCCAATTAGAATAAAATATTATCATAATTACACGTGGGAAAATCAATGGCAGAGCTACAGTGACACAATACAAGCCCTTAGTGTCTATTATAAAAGAAACTTTAAGGTAAAAGTGTAATCTCATACAAAACCAACCACTACCTTGCCAACTTAACCCTCAGACGTACACGCAAAATCATACCCCCACCATGGTACAAGAGGATGGTAGATGGAACCCCTCCCCAGAGTTTTTGATATGTTGCAGTATTTCGACGCGATTTTGCCTTCACTGAAAAGCCTTTGATCTTATGAATGGCGGCACTGCTGGAAGCCTGTTACGTCACGAACAATGGTCGCCATCTTTGCCGCCATCTTGGATAGTACAAGGAATTAGAAATCAGGTTAAAACAAGGAGAAATGTTAATTGCATGACATGAATAATAACACATAAATAAGCACTTTGCATGATTTTAGCTACAAGATTTTTCTTTTATTGTTGAAAAAAGTTGAAAAAACATATATCACTCAAAATGGCTTGACAACCTGATACTTATTACGTCATACCTCGTAACCATAGAAACTGATCATCACTAAACTTTTCTTAAAATGCGTGCGAGGGATAAACGAACATCTACTGAAAACGTCAGGTGCTGATGTTTGATCCTCTTGGAAAAATCCCAGAAAACCTAAAGGGGGGTGGCATCCACCCCCCCACCCCTTGTATGTCCGAGGGTTAAAGTGTTATTTCTTTGAGGAAGGAAACTTATGGCAAAGGATAGATGTGCAGCCCGTCACCCCTTGCAGTTTTTCACTAAACTGATAATTTAAGTATCCAAAAGGCTGCGGTTCATTAATTATTTAATTACTTTTTACTTTGCCGTGTAATCGACAGGGAAACCAAGTTCGCATTTACAGTAAGAGGTTTGGTGATCTTATCAGTACGCATGATATTCATTTGGCAAACAGTGGTGAAATAAACGACCACAGGAGCCTATCGGCTCCTGACGATCATGTTGCATAAACAAACAAGAGTTAATGAAGTTAAAGTGGCAATCAAATGATGCATTCTTACAAGTTTTACTCTTTCCCTAGGGATCAAAGTCTTGAAACTTGGTGAAATACATAAAAAATGTTAATAATTAACAAGCGTTTTTACTTATTAACTGAGATTTTCGGACAACCGACAAAAATCAAGAAGTTTAACCGACTACCGACGAAGATCGAAAATCGACTACCGACAAAGTAACTGAATTTTAACCGACAACCGACAAATGGACCCCCCCATTCAGACCCTCATTCTACGGTTATTAATCGTTCTTTGCACGCCAAACCAGTGTAATAATCGTAAAATACTACATTTTCAGTTTATTAACCGTGAAAGACGTAACTTTACGGTTATTATACGTGGAATTGTACGATTATTAGTCGTATGATGCGTATTTCCAGACTATTAATCGTAAAAACGCAAAAGTTAAATTAAGCCGGATCATTCTTGCTCCGTCCGCCATTACGGTCGAAAATATCCACAGCCGAGTCTTCTAATCACTCTCTCATTTCTCTCCAATGTTTATTTACCTGAAGTCTTTAGTGGTCAAGCTTTCCTTTCGCCAAAAGTAATATATAACCAAAATTGCTTAGGAAAAACCAGCATTCTGAACAATTTTCCAAGTCTACTGTGATCGATGCGAGGCTTCAAAATGCGATGGGACTGTTCTCGCTAGTTCATAGCTCTTAGTTTAGCAGAAGTGGGCCAAAAGAGAAAAAACTATCACTGTCTCACAGAAAAAAAAAAGCCAGTTTTATGGTTATTAAATTATTAGGGTTTAAAATGATGAAGTCATATCAAAATATTAGGTTTTTTGGTTTTACACTGCTCGATATTCTCAACTCAGCAGTACATCAAGATACGTACGGAGAAATGTCGTGAATGACCTTTTTATCAAGTTCAGTCAACTCTTTCAAGTGAAGATGATTTTATTTTTAACTTTTTGTCTAGTTAAGTTCAGTTAAATATTCGATAGTTGTACAAAAAACCTTTAAACTTATTCCTGAAAACTTTCAAAGATTTTAGAGATGGAATATGAACCTGTTTTAAGCCTAGTTTTTCAGCGCTTGCTGGCGTGGCTGAGTGCGTTATTACAATAATTTTTCTCTGTGTTTTGCGTCCAAAGGCGCAAGTTCAAATCTCGTCGGAGACAAGTTTTCTCTTCTTCTTCTTTTTTTTTTTTTGCTGGTTTTCTTTTTTAAAACCCTTTTTTCATTTTCAATAAATTTTGTTTTAATTAGATGACTTAATTTTCAAGTTGTTAAAAACAAAAATGATATTCAAACGCGATCGGCCGTTCAGCATTCAAACATCGGACTCAATTTCTTTTCTTTACTGATAGACATATAAGATGTTCATCTAAACCTATTAAATCATGAAAACGATTTTGTAAATCTATTTCTAGGTGAACTCGATTGGAATTATAATTTAATAACTAAGTATTACAGCTTGAAAAAAGTACACAGTACAAATTATAAACCAACAACTTGGCAATACGGCAGCGATCGAGATACAAAACTCGGCACTGGATCGTGCAAGACCTCTAGTTTACAAATTATGGCACTAGGAAGCAAAATGTAACTGGTACTATGTCATCCATTGAGATTAAGGTGTTGATCAAATCCAATGCCTACCTCTCGATTCAATCGTTACATCAAAATCGCTGCGATCGCCGCTCGATTGCTGACAAGTTCTCTCTTTTTAATCCGGCTAGCGATGAAAAGCGAAGCGATCACACAGAAAAAGCGGCAAATAAGTCCAACAAGGCCAGCAAAAATATCCAAGTATATAACAGAACAACTCCTACTCGCAGACATAAATAACGTCTCTTCCTTGCCATGATTTCAAGACAAACCCTTCGCGCAACGGCCTAGACTATTAAATGTGCACGTATATCAACACGTGTTTATCACATCATTGAAAGCAAGTAAGTGTTTTAATGAAAGAAACTGACCTGATTACGCCTCCAGGTCTTCTCGGCTCACAGTGCCTTAACCTGTAGCGGGCTGCATTTTTGACGTCGTTTCCTCGTTAAACACAAAATTCTTCAAAATTTGGTGATCAGTAACTGGTTATGGTGAATTATGCGTGTGCTTTTAGCCAATCAGAATTGGCGAAATATTTTGAATGAACAATAATGTAATTTAACTGAAGCAATAAGCGATATTGTCTTTGAATATTTTCTAGTGTCAACCAGCTCCAACCCAAATCTATCTCCAACAGAAGTTCTTAGGATGGACGCCACTGTTGCCCTTTCTGTTGTCGTAGCAATCCTGTTCCTTTGTATCGTCCTTGGGTTCGCCTTCTTTTGCTTTAAACACCATCAGCGGAAGCAGATTGTGGAGTATCGTAATCTGTTTTTTCCAGTATACACTGGAAAACACCAGGTAAAATACCACGTAAAACGAGCTTAAAATGAAGCCACTACATAACAACCAGTGCCTGCTTGGATTCTGCAACTTATTTTGGCTAAAAATGATGTTTGTTGGACTGCTTAAATTTCACACCCCTCCCATTCCAAGATCATACTCAACACCTACAATGACAACTTTAAACGCGGAAAAACGGAGAAGGGGGATTTCTTTTACTTGTGAAAATTTTGTCTCAGAGGAGCAATTAAATTTTATAAGCAAACGTCTCTCAACCTTTGTTCAAACATGACGGCGAAAATAAAATGATTTTGCGATCTTTCAAACTTCATCTCGATTCTCGTCATTTCCTTTTATATGTGAAACGTAGGTGACTTTACGTGGAGTAGTTGAATTTCTATGGACAGCCAATTTAAAAAAGGTAATAAAAAATCTATTGTCAGTGCCGGTTAACGTCCTTCGCAAAACGCGCATTGGGACTAATTTTTCACGTCGTAGTCGTGCAATTAAGTTTGATGGCCCGTGCAAAGTTGTTGTTTTTGGTTGTTAATCCGACCCGCTACTGGTCTACCTTCTCGTTACCGTCGTCGACTCTCTTTTGCTTAAAATCCTTAGTAACCTTTCGAAAGTGGAGGGTTGCTTTACTTATGGCCACTTTACGTACATTCGTGTAAACTCTCATGGTGTTGGACACTTTTGAGAAATGAATGATTATACATTTATCAGCATCTGAGTTGCTTGTTCGAGGCCAGTCGATCGACAGACATAATTTGCAAAATTGCAACCATAGATTGCTTCTCGTTTTAAAATAGATATATACTCACGGATAAATAGATGTATAATCACGGATAGTAAATATGGCTGACATTTTGTTCATTTCATTTCAGGCTACGAACCAGTCTGTTCCGCAAAAATAGTCACGACTTTTTTTGTCGACCTACCGTGAACGAGGTGCCTAGTTTTTTTGGGGAGTGGCCATAAATTTAAGTCTACTTTTCAAACCTAAACTGGCTTTTGTTTATTCTTTGACTCGATTAAAAAAGTGATCCATCGCCCTGAAATGGCCTTCTAAATTCAGGTAATACTCATGAACCAAACAGTTTCCAGTTGGAGGGAATAAACTTACGATTGCTTAGACTAAATAGGTCCCTACTGTATACGTCAATTAATAAAATATTTCTTGATTGTTTTAGATTGACCCTAATCGTACACTGCTTGAACAATGTAATGATCTGCCTTATGACCCTGATTTCGAGTTTCCTGAGGACAAGCTCATTCTTGGGGAGTTGCTAGGATCAGGGGCCTTCGGAAAAGTCATTAAAGCAGAGGCTATAGGAATAAACAACTTTAGTCCCAGAGACAAAAGTCAAAAGAAAAGTCAGCGGTGGCCTAAAATGTTTCGTCAACACAGGGCCGGCCATGCGTACCACGATCCCAGAGGCAGTGCGTACACGAAGACCATCGTAGCTGTAAAGACTGTTAAAGGTAATGTTTCAAGTCAAGAGATCTCTATTTCAACTTGTGTAACATTTACCATGGAGCAAGGATGGCTGGTACTTGTCGGGGGTTGGTGGAGGGAGACAAAAAAGGAATTTGGTTTATAGTTACTGTAGCAGCTGATAATATGCAGGGGAGGGGACAAGTTACCAGATTGCCTGCGCGGTAATGATGTGGGAGACGGGGTAGGGTTGATTTAGGAATCTGTGCCTACCAGTGGAAAAAACTCCAGCCATGCCCCTGGATTCAGCATGGGTGAGGTGGGCAATTCACATAGGGCCTCTCATGCATGAGTACCGTTCGTGCTCATTCCTATTGCTGAGGTCTGTGCCCAGTTAAAGTGAACGTTGCTTGTTACATGGTCACATGGACTCCAATAGACCCTGTGGAAACTGCACTTTTTTTAACTGACCGAGTACGATATTTTGGCACTTCAGGGGAAGCTCCTAAAGAGGAAGTAAGAGACCTGGCATCAGAGCTGAAAATTCTAATTTGCGTTGGAGAACACAAAAACATTGTAAACCTCCTTGGTGCTTGTATCAAGCGAGATCGTATCCTTGTCATTCTGTAATATGCACCACATGGGAGTTTACAAAAGTTCTTACGAGGCAAGCGAGATGTTTATGAAGCAACCTGGACTACGACTGCGAGTGACCCAGAGATAGGATTGAATATATCAAATCTTGTAAACTACTCTTACCAAATATCCCGTGGAATGGAATACCTGGCGTCTAAAAAGGTAATGTAGTAAAAAGTGTTGCCCCGTTCAAGGATTCCCACAATTCTGAAGGAAATTCAGTTCTAAAAAGAGCTGTAGTGGCTCTTGGTTGTAATAGACCTTTTTGGCTTATGTTTTATTTTCCCATTTCACACCACGTGATGTTCTCAAGGCAATTGGCGTTTTGTCTTTTCATAAAATATACTTACATATGCTCGTGGATGCACGAGCAAAGGACACCTTTAAAAAGGAACGGTTCTCTGGGGTACCATCAAGTGGTCTGAAAAGGGAAGACAAAACATACAAGCTAAAAAGGTTTATTCTCCAGCACTTGTTTATTTTCTCCGTTTGGCTTCAAAGAGTTTTGTCATGAGTTAAATCGTTCATTCGACTCTAAATCTGCGCCTATTTGTTTGTTTTTCGAGTTTAACAGAGTATGACTATTTGAACCGGGGCGCTTGAAAGATTATTATCCAATCAAATTGTTTGAACTTGCCGTTTTTTTTTTTTGAAAACAAGAGACTCTCTGTTAATGTAAACAGACCAAAAAAAATTCAATATGCAACTATGAAACTGTTGATAACTTAAAAACCGTTTGAACTTACCTGACCTTTCAGGAATTGGCCCTCAAATTTAATGAGAATCTTCCGTTTTCAAAAACCCCCATGATTATTATGATTTGTGTTTGGATAATCTATTTCCAAAAGCCCAGCTTCGAGTATTCGCACTGTAGGAGTTTATTATGAGTAATAAATGGTAAAAAGTAAAGTAACTCAGAGAGAAAAGACCTCAGTAGCCAAAAGCTCGCGCAAAGGATTACAAAAAGCAACATGTAGCAGAGAAGGTTATGGGAACTCAGAAGCGTGCGCAACAGCTGTGACATTAAATCAGCCATGAACCGGGAGCGAAAGAAGCGAAGACGAAAGGGTCTGTAGCGTTGGTTTCTCACTGACAATTCAGCGTTCGAGAGTAAGTGAAGAGCATTGTTTAACAATGTTTAGTCTTTATTTACCTTTACTTTCTGTAGCGTGTGCACTTCTCTGTTGGTATAAAAATTGTTTTTCCTGTTTTTACTGTGATTATTATCATTATTATTATTATTATTACTTTTTGAAATAGCAAAATTCTTTATTAACATATGACCAATTTACATTCCACAATCATAGACTAAAATTTTGATGAAATAAAAATATTAAAACTAAGATCATAAAACACTAATTTACAAGCTTACCCCATTATCGACTTTCTAAAATTAGCGGACTTATTATTATTATTATTATCTCCTTCTTGTTTCTGATTTCTTGATTTTGCATTTCTTCTTTCAAAACATTTCTGTTTTATATAGTGTGTTCACCGAGACTTGGCAGCCAGAAACGTTCTTGTTGGAGAAGACTACGTCATGAAGATCGCTGACTTTGATCTCGCTCGAAATATTTACAAGAGTGACTTATATGTGAAGACGAACAGTGGTGTTTTGCCAATGAAGTGGATGGCGATAGAATCATTGTTTTTGAGGGAGTACTCAGAGAAAAGTGACGTGTAAGTACAAATGACATTTAAAAAAATGAATGAAGGGAGAATATGAAAATATGCGGGGATCGTACTCAAGGATGACAACTATATAATTAGTGCGTAACTAGGCGTTAAAATTAAAAAGAAGCTGGCCTTTTGATTACTGCAATTAAGTTAAACTTGCCATAACATAGTTTAGTAGACGCTCTCCGATTGGTTGAGAAGTATGTTTGCATGCGAGTAACACAGTTAAACGCAACCACGCAACCATGGTTTGAAAAACTCGACAAGTTTACTTTATTAACCCATAACTTAGAGGCTTGGAACTTGAAGAATCTTTAAAAACATGCTATATCAAAGTTTTTACGCTCAAGACGACATTTTAAGGGAGATCAATCCGTCCTTTAAAATATCACCTTTTTTAACAAATAAAGAAGCCTCGACTGTGCTCTGTTCTGTACGTTGTAAATCACGCACGACTGGCAGCGGCTAGAACACGAAAGAAGTGTAGGGGGGAACACGAGATGTAGTCGAGTGTTCCTCTCTACTTCTTGAGTAGAACAGAATAGAGCTCAGTCAAGACTTCTTTATTTGTTTTATGAATACCGTAAGTCCTCTATTAAGCTCCCCGGGTTTTTTTTTCAACCACTTTGAGGAGGGGCTTAATAGAGAGGGGGGCTTAAAAGAGAGGGGCGGGGGCTTCTTTAATTTAGCGAAACGCATCACCTGTAGCAAAAATACCGTGGTATGAGACAGAGTAGACTTAAGCGTTGTACAATTACAGTCACTGTCAAAAGTATTTAATTCAGTTGTGGGAGCCTAAAAGTAACAAAAACAAAATTCTTATTCTTCAAACATGTGCTTTCGGCCTCATGTTCTTCGGTAATTTTTATGGGAATGGTTACTTGTATTGATTTGTCGTACACAACTTACAAACGAAAATCTCTGGAAAACTCCTCTTATATTTACATTTTTTATCTCTCACATTTAAATGTTTTATATAAACAGCCTTGAAATTTATGATACTATAATACTATACGAAAATGGTGACAATTCTCCACAGAGAACTAGAGCGCAAAGTTGAGAAAGTTAAGCATATGAAGTTGGAGGTCATGCGGCCGAAGACCAAAAACAATATGAACTTCCAGCCTGAATAAACCATAACTGATCAGTCAGCCACGTTAATCGTTAATTGTTTTGTGAAGAATAAGGATTATAGAGAGGGGGGGCTTATTGACTTTTCTCCTCTGAAAAGGGGGGCTTATTTGAGAGGGGGGCTTAAGAGAGGATTTACGGTATAAAGAATCCGTTAAATTCCCCACACATTCCTTTTTAATTTTCAAAACAATCTTTAGTATTTTTTTTTATACCAAAAGAGTGTCGTCAGCATGTTTTATACTCTCATAAAGCACGCTTTTGCAACAAATCTGACGCACGTTATATCTGAACTTTATTATAAACGCAAAGCAAAAACGTACTGATTACACGTACAAAACTTTGTGTAGATACAACACTTCGCGACTAGTAGGAACTGCTTTTTTCATCAGCGCCATAAACAAAGAGCTAGGTAGCAACTTTTTCTCGGGAAAGTTGCCGTTATAAAAGAACCTTAGCAGAAAACTGTTTTTCTGTGGTTTGCAATTTGTATGAATTCCCTTACATTCTCCCAACACCCGAATCTCGTGTTTATATCAGGGCATGTAAACATGTAATCTTGAAAATCCTAAAAACCTCTGGCGCATTATTCGTTCTCTTGCGCCTTCTAAATGTTCCAAATTACCAAATCATTTAACCATTGACGTGATGAACTATCATGATTATTATGATATTGCCAACTTTTTTAAAGAGCATTTCGCCAATATTTCTTCCTCTGTTCAGTTAAATCATGCTTCTGACCCACCTAACTGGGAGCGTATGGCCTATTACGTTGATTCCAAGCTGCCATCTGGAGTGTCCTATTGTATTCCCTATTTGTTAGAACTAGCCTTCAGCAGTTATCTACTAACAAGGCTACTGGGCTCGACAACCTTAGTAGCTATTTTCTAAAAATAGCAGCCTCTTCTATCTCTCCATCTTTGACTACTATTTTTAATCTCAGCATTTCTTCTGGTGTTTTCCCCGATCTTTGGAAAACTGCCAAAGTCTCTCCACTGCATAAAGACGGTTCGTTGTTTGACCGATCCAATTATCGCCCAATATCAGTTCTGGCTGTTGTCTCAAAAATTCTTGAGCGTCACGTGCACCAAACTTTTTACTACTTTCTTTCCCAACACGACCTGCTGCTGGATTCGCAATTTGGTTTCCGTAGTTCTCGTTCTTGTGAGCTTGCTATCGCCGATCTTTCTGATAACATTTTGACCAACATCGATGACAAACTCCTTAATGGGCTTTTGTTAGTTGACTTGAAGAAAGCCTTTTGACCTTGTGGATCATGATACGTTACTTAATAAACTTCGTATTTATGGTTGTTCCCACCCTACCATGGTTTGGTCTCGCTCTTATCTATCCGGGCGTTCCCAAAAAACCCAGTTTAGGGGCACTCTATCTGAAGCACTTCCAGTCTCTGTAGGTGTGCCGCAGGGTAGTATCCTGGGGTCACTTTTCTTTATTATTCATATCAACGACTTGCCGTTAGAGCTACATTTAGAAGTAACTTCAACTATGTTTGCGGATGATACTACTATTCTTGTTCGAGGCCCTCTGTTACTTCCCTCAGCACTCAGTTGAATGAAGTTGCTAGAACTGTATCTACGTGGGCTGAGAACAATCGAATGTCACTTAACACAAACAAAACTAAATCTTTACTTATTACGACCCTGCAGAAACTCCGTACTCTAACCAGCTCGGCACTCAATGTCCAAATCGATGGTAGATCTATTGAGCAAGTGGACTATGCCAAGATGCTGGGCGTTATGATAGACAGTGACATATCTTGGGAGCATCATATCGATACAATCTGCTGCATCATTAGCAGTAGGCTTTCTCTTCTCCGTCGCATCAAACCTTATCTTAACTTTGATTCTGCTTTAAGATTCTATAATTCTTGTGTTAACTACTACTATATTTATTGTTCTGCTGCCTGGGGTAACTGTTCCAACCATCTCCTCTTACGACTTCTTCGTCTTCAGAAGCGTGCTGGGCGTATACTCCTTGATGCCGACCTCTCTCAGGCTTCTATTTTTTTATTTTTAAAACTTAACTGGATTCCCGTTTCTGATCTTATTAAATACAGGAAACGTTTTCTTCTTTTCATCGTACTCCTTAATCCGAATGCTCCTAAATGTCTCTGGGCAGTTTTACAAGAGCCTCTCTCTACGACTTAAAGGTGCCATGCCCAAATAGCAACTCTGGGAGACGCACCTTGGCCTATACTTCCACTAAACTCTTTAATGACCTCAGTTCCGACTTAAAAGAGTTTCTATTTCTTCTTCTCCACTGATATTTAAATTTCTTCCCTCCTCTCTTAAGTCTAAATTACGAAGTCTGTTTTTCTTACGCCTATCATCGGCCGAGCACTTGGAGGATCTACTGTGCTCGACTTGCCGCTATTCTATTCATTGTCACTGCTTTTCACAGTCCTACTACAACCACTATTACGTCTTTTAATTGATATTTATGTATATATGTATACATGTTCATTTATAGTACATATTTTGCCCCCCTTCGTCGATGTATATATTATTCATTACGTGTTTATAGCCTTTTCTACTTTAACTATTGTCTCTTTTGTGTATATATATATATATTTATAAATTTATTTGTTTTTAGTCTTCTAAATTTATTTATCTATTTATCTATTTTTTTGAGGGCCGTAGGTTAAAAGACTGTAATAGGTTATTGCGCTTCCCTCTTTAAATAAAGTTATTGTATTGTATTGTATTGTAGCAGATAACGTTTTCCGTTTTTTATAATAGTACTCGAAAGAAAAACAATACTACTGATAACGATTCTTGAATGTAGCGCTTCATATGCAAGCCATGTAAGTTTTGATTCCAATAATTCCTTTGTAGTGGAGTTAATAGCAGCTTACCATAGTTTAGCTTAAACAGCTTACAGAGCTTTATTGTCACCCTTTTGGTTTGGAATGACCCAGGCTGTGATGACCCTTCGAGTGTGTATGTTTTGAACCTTGACATTAATAATGCAGATGGTCGTTTGGTATTTGCTTGTGGGAGATCTTTACACTGGGCGGCACACCGTATCCCACTATACCCGTAGAAGAGCTCCTAGGCTTTCTCAATGATGGAAACCGTATGGAAAATCCCCGAGACTGCCCTTCGGAGATCTACAAAATTATGCAAGATTGCTGGCAGGAAGGACCCGACAAGCGACCTAAATTTGATCAAATCAGCCAGTCGATTGGTACAATACTTGAACAACGCGCTTCCCAGGTGAGGCCTATTTTCTACAGTTTTTAAGGCAAAGGAGGAACTTAGAGAACTTATCCTCTCTCTTGTCAGAACTTATTGTACACTAGGTCCTTCAAAGGAAAAAATGAAGTTTATCAAAAGGGGATACTCTCTTGAGTGTATACATCCTTTGTTCTGATGGGGCGAGCGGAAATTAAGCTTTGCGGGAAGAATATGAAGAGATGACTTATGAGCGAATGTCTGCAAATATCGAGCAACCGGCGGCCACGGTCAAAAATTAAATTTCGCTCATTTCGTGTCCATACATACTTATTAGTAAGTAACTAAACGTGGTGTAGGTTGTTTTTCAAAAGGCCGCTTGGATTTTGAGAAAATCGTCAAAATCAATTTTCGTGTTCGGCGACTTGAAAACAACCAAAATTTAAGGCAAAATGAGGGGGTCTCAAAACTTCGCTCGCACGCAAAAAGGAAGAAAGCGTGCTAAAATATTCCCCGATAAATCAATTTGTAACGGGTTTTAGCCCTAGTATGGCGGTTAATTCTTAACTTAACGATAATGTGGAAAGGTAAACAATTTTATTTCAGTTTTGGTTCTTTTTCAACTCAACGAATTTTAAATTTAGACCTAAAGTCGCGATTTAATTTTCAGGCATGTGCTACACCTTGGTTTTTCCTGAAACTCAAGCTATAAGTTAGTTAAACATTGTACTAAAACATATGTAAGAACTGGCTTGGGTAATTTAATTTGGGCTTCCGACGAACCTTCTGAACTTGAACAAATTTTGAGTGAAATAGATATGAGACATTTGCATAATTCACCAACGCCTTGCTGTTGCCGAGAGGGATCCATTGGCATTTCCTGAGAAGAAACCTGATGTACTTCTATAGTACGATAATTAATTTGCCAACATACCATAGAAATTAACTTACCTTTATAGTTTGAGCCCTTTTTTGACTTTTTATACTCTCGAGCTCCAAAATTCTGCTGGCGCTAACGCATTTTGTAATTTGACCTCTAACGAGAGGTCATTGGAGATGGCCAGGTTATTAAAATGTCACTCAAACCGAATGAGCGTTATGATCTAAATTCTTAAGGTGGTTGAACAAGATATATCACGAGAAAAATATGTTTTTAAGACATTTTCGGCGGTTTGAAAGATGTTCTTACCAATTCATAGAATCAGTTCCGACATACAGCGAGGAAGTGTGAGAAGACAAGGAGTGGTGTTGCCGGACAACGAACTCCATCCTTTGAACTTAAGAATGAGTAGTCTAGAACAAAATTGTTTATACATTTCTTTGATGTTTTCAATGTTATTTGTTCAATTATGCAACACCTTAAAGGCTGCATAGTCTTGCTGCCACCAGTACTTGATTTAAAAGTGTAACGTGGTGGTCAGTTTTTCGGACACCTGCGCGTGTGATAAAAGCATTGACTATTAAGGAATTTGGAAAGTATCAAAATCATACACCCTGCCAGTACACACGAACACTGAGTAGGTTTTAAACTTTGGACAACCTCGATAAATGATCTCGGACGCGTTTTTTGTTTTGAGTGAAGAATCACAATAAAAAATATCATGTTCTTTCATATGCATATTTTGGGGAAGGGTGGCTCTGAATCTTACTTGGGTACTACCTAGTAAGACTCCAATGGAAAGGTCGTTGAGGGGATAGAAGAATCCGTCGAAAGGGTTACGCTGTAACTCTTGGTCAAGGATATTAGGTAAGCAATTCGCTCTATAAACCCTGTCTCCCCCTTTTCAACCAGCATTAAAAAACTTACATTAGCACACGCAACTACGAAAATATCGCAAAGTAATTGGGGAAATGCTATCTAGGCAGAGCGGCCTTGTGGAGTGGTAGATGGCGTAGTGCTATTTTCAAGTCTACAAACCTCTCCTTGAGTGTGAAGACTTAACGCATGAGTTTCAGTTTCTAGTATCAAATATATACAAAGAAAGAAACCTGGGGTCTAGAACGCTGACCTGTTCCTCTCTCCTTCCTTTACCAAAGGATACGTCAAAGTATATCGGACAATTTCCTCCTTACAGCATGCTCGGCTACTCAAACAAGCAAGTTAGAAAGCTGGCCCGGGTTGCTCGAAGCATGTTTAGTGCCAACCAGCGTTAAATACCATGGAAACCTATACATTTGGATACCTCTTAACCAACGGTTAGCGCTAACCAGGCTTCGAGCAACCGGCCCCTGGAATCAAACGTGTTTACCAGTGGGTTAGGCCCTGACGTCTTCAAATTCACGTTAAAAGACACTGTTTAGGCAAAAGCATTAAGTTTACTTTTCCAGTAAATTCCGTCTTGCGGCCTTAGACAACGGACCTGGGGCCCGTTTGTCCAAAGTCCCTATAACTTTTCGGGCCCGAAATCAAATATTCAAATCCAAATAAAAGGATTAAGAGGAGCGCGGGTTCTGGCCAGCAAAATACCTCATTTTTTCATTAACGGATAGTTTTATCATGTAAGATGCAAAACTATTGAAATTTCTATCTTGCATGTAAGCAACAACAGCTTTAGGGGCCCTTTAGTTATTAGGACTTTCGAGAATTGAACGGGCCCAGAAGCAGATGCAGCCTCAATATCCGCTTCATTGATGACTGCCAGAGAAAGTTATGGTTGGAGACTTTCTTTTCAAGAGTTCTGACCATGAATTTCTGACGAGCCACCAAGTCTTAGTCTCAAGGCCGGTACCAAAGCGCACACTCAGAAAATGGCAAAATGACCGAGAGTAAAACTGAAAAAAAAAACAAACTATGTGGGTAAAGAAAGTAGTGAAAGAGTTAGGCGATAGTTGACAGGGGCACCCAACGACAGTTTCCTCCTAAATACATTGGAAACCCTTTTAGGTTATCTAAGTTACTAAGTTCTTTGCGGCGCCATATAATTGTTACGAGGACTTCAATACTAGTTTTTTCGAGAATGTTGAAATTTTTTTCTGATACCTTCTCTATTACAATTTCGTATCCGAAAATTTTAATTCCCTTTATATGGAGAAAACCTGTCTCGTGTAGGAGAGTCACCCTCCCAGCCGAGAGAAAAAAAGGGACATTGACCCCAACCGGCCTTTGCACATGTTCTAATTGTCCGCGCCTTGGCTATGCGAGCCCTTTACCGATACGGATCGGATTTGCTAGTCGGACCGAAATGTCCCCTTCCATTTTACAAAATTATTTTCCCCAGGACCACTGATCTGTATCCTGCTTACATGCACGATAACCAAACTCGCGGTGGCTTTGGTTTGGTCTGTGCAACTGGAATGTACCTTCCACTGGGCAAGTGGTTTTTTCGAAATTCCAAACATGAATTTTTGTTGAATGGAAAGCGCGTAAAGTGCCTACGGAGAAACTTTGGCCCGGCTAGGAGGCTAACCCTACCATTACAAAAGGGTGACTGGACAAGGTGGGTCACCCTTCTAGCCGAGCCAACTTTTTGTATTTTCGGTTCGCCATGTTTTGTAAAGAACTGCGTGAAACGTTGCCTCTTCCAGGAAAGCTCGGGTAGGCGGGTGACCCTTCTGCTCGAGACAAATTTTCTTCATATAAGCGGGGCCTAAATTTAGTTCTTTACATTAATTTCCATAGTCCAGCTGACGCACTTTTTTTTGTTTTTGTTTTTTGTTCTACAATTTGGAAAACTGAAATTAAAAAAATACAGATCGGCCATGGAATGATATAACACGATCTGTATGCTGTTTTTTTTTAGACTGGCGCAATGCAGATGCTAAAGCTATGCAGATTATAAAAATTACGATGCTATAAGATCAGAGAATTTCGACTGCCAATTGAAAGAAGGATTATGAGGGATGCGCATCTTTTGCTGGTCAGGAGCCCATAACCCGGAGTGAGCAACTTCCACGCGCTTGTGTCACGACGTTTTCACTGACCAGTTTCTTTTTAGAACAGTTTTGGCGCGAATTTTGAATATCTTTTAAATTTCACAAACTAGTCAGCAAAACCTACAGACCTAACAATGGTATTTTCTGCCTTTTAATAACGTTTAGGTTTCCGTTTTGAAATCTTCTACTTCGAATGCGCTCATAGATGTGGTGGAGATTTTATTTTCTCGGGAAGAATTGCCCCCTAAAATGTGTCTAAAAATAAAGTGATCCGGAAAAACGCCGTGACATAGGCCGAGTATGGAAGTTGCTCACTCCGGGTTATGGGCTCCTGGCTGGTATGTTTATTCTAAACTTCGATATTGGGCTTATTTTTCACAACAGAGTGTCGCGACCGAGTACCTTCACTTAACAGAAGACAACAACCGTGGCATAAAAGATTGCTACCTTGATCCACATGATTCAGACCCCACCGTTCCTGTGACGAGAGCAGATGTTTATGAAAGGTTAGTACTCTCGATTAAGGATTTGGCTTTTATTCTTGAAAAGTTCAGCAACAAGCGAGTTGGGTTGTCCATACCAGGCATTCCGTACCCATAAAGGAGCCAACAAGTCCCAGGCTAAAGAACTTACCAATATTAGTTCGACAATAAATACGTTATGATATGTTAATTCAATAACTGATAGGTAGGACCAGTTCTGCTTATATACTAGCTTGGCCACTGAGAGAGCGCTTATTCTTGGAAGAAATAGGTTCTTCAAAGGAGTACTGAGGAGACAGTATATCGTTAATGAGACACGTGCATGGTCATGGCAAAGAACGGAAGGGACTCAGTTACATCGTTACGTAAGAAATAATATTGCTTAATTCGTGGATACAGATAATGGTCTTGTGCACAGTAAATTTAAAATTGAGCCGAACGAGTGGGGAATAAGAAACTGTTCCCTTATGTCAATGCCGGCGTTTAATCAAAGGTAAACAAGCGTTCAGAGAATGAGAGAAGAGAGGAGGTTCCCTTATAAAATCACTTAATAAATTTAAGACGGTGTGCTGGAGGTGATTGTTATTCAAGGAGACTCTTATTTTTCAGTTTGGCAGGCGAATATTTAGGGGAAGACGCTTAATCAACGTGAACGCCTTTTATTTTTGACATTTAAGGCGTAATAGCGTATAAATCTCAGAGTGAGAAAATCTAACTCCGTTCGCTGCGTACAAATCATGTTTCGAGTCCATTGCGGTTGGCATCAAGATTTGAAATAATGATAACAAAAATAATAGAGCATTGCGATCTTGCCTCACAGAATTATCGGCTTGTCGTAAAATGTTTTAGTGTGATTCACGTTGCCTTCTATAATCGTGCGCATGATCTAAAATGTATGGTGAATTTTATAGGAATCTACTATGGTTGACAGCGTTGTTTTCTTCTTATAGGCGATCAGGTGAAAATATTGCAAACAATCCCTTGCCTCCATTACCAGATGGCATGGAAGATCAATTCGATCCTGAATAAGAGGAGAGACGACAGATGCTGAAACCAGAGATTTACGGTGGTTCGTCGGGGAGTGAGGGCAACATAGAACTAGAAGAATTCCATGGTAATGAGCAGGCTGTGGCCTTGGAACTGACGCCTATTGCTCACTCTATAGAAAAGGCCGAAATTCAAAGAAGAAAACTACAATCGTCTGAGACTTGCGCTAAAGTTAATCTTTTTACTTCCAGATTCAATAATAGAGACGGTTTAAAAATAGTCCCTAGTTTATCTCTGTTGTAAAATGCTGTGATGTGATCGGCTGTTCAAATGAAACCTTATCTGTAGCACGTTTACATGACTGTAATAGTTTATGTTTTACTGATTCGAGTTCTAGTTCGAAATCTTACGTCAGTGACTAGTCCGTCGACGAAATCCAATAGTTTGACCATTTAAATTAAAATTTAAAATTCAGTAGCGTGTTCACATGAAACTAGCTATTTCGCATGTAGTTCTAACTATTGGTCTCTGGACAAAATTAGATGATGTGACTGAAAGAAATACAGTCTACACGGAGGAAGAATCCTTCAAAAACGATTACTTATCGTACTTGGCACATCTTTCTTATCTATAGTTTCCAGACAGGCTGAAATTGGTAAGTGTGGTCAGGGACGATTATTAATCGTACTCAGTGGCACATCTCTATACTTTCGTATCAATAGGCTGCAGACAGGTTAAAACTGGTCAATATGATCAGAATTAATCGTACTTAGCACATCTCAATACAGTACTTTCTTTCCTTAGCCTTCAGGGGGCGTAAGACTAGGTAGATATTGTCAAAAACGATTATTAATCATACTTGCCACATCTCTATACTTTCTTATTTATAGCCTGCAGACAGGTTGCAACTGGTAAATGTAGCCAGGGACGATTATTAATCGTATTTGGCACATCTCAATACTTTGTTATCCCTTGCCCGTAGACATGTTGAAATTGGTACGTATAGCCAGGAACCCTAATTAATCGTACCTGGCACATCTCAATACTTTCAAATCCCTAGCCTTTCGGCCTGTTGAAATTGGTATTTATGGTCACAAACGTTTATTAATCGTACCTGTCACATCTCAATACTTTCCTGTCCCTAGCCTGTAGACATGTTAAAATTGGTACATGTAGGCATGGTCAGGAACGCTTATTAATCGTACTTGGCACATCTCAATACTTTGTTATTCCTAGCTTGCAAACACGTTAAAATGGCAAGGCATGGGCACGAAAGCTTATTAATCGTACTTGGCTCATCTCAATACTTTCCTGTCCCTAGCGGCTGTGAACATGTTTGAAATTGAAATGTATGATCAGGAACGCTTATTAATCGTGCCTGGCACATCTAAATACTTCGTCATCCCTAGCCGGTAGACATGTTGAAATGGGTAGGCATGGCCAGGAACGAGTATTAATCGTACTTGACACATCTCAATACTTTCTTATCCCTAGCCTATCGACATGTTAAAACTGCAATGTATGGCCAGGAACGATTGTTAATCGCACCTGTCACATCCAAATACTTCATTATCCCTAGCCAGTAGACAAGTTGAAATGGGAAGGTATGGTTAGAAACGAGTGGTAATCGTACTTGGTATATCTTAATACTCTTTCTCTTTGGACATGTTAAAGTTGAAATGTATGATCAGGAACGCTTATTACTCGTGCCTGGCACATCTCAATTCTCTCTTATCCCTAGTCTATAGCCTTTTTAAATTGGTAGGTATGGTCAGGAACGCTTATTAATTGTACTCGGCACATCTCAATAATTCTTTATCCCTAGCCAGTAGACATGTTGAAATTAGTAGGTATAGTCAGGAGCGCTTATTAACCGAACTTGGCATATCTCAATACTTTCTGTCTTTGGATATGTTGAAGTTGGAATGTATGATAAGGAACGTTTATTAATCGTACCCGGCACATCTCAATACTTTCTTATCCCTAGCCTGTAGACATGTTGAAATTGGTAGGTATGGAAAGTAACGATAATTAATCGTACTTGACACACGGCTCGATACTTTCTTATTCCTAACTTGCAGAAATGTTAAAATTGCAAGCCCCGCCGAGGAGCCGCAAGCAGTAAAATTTCTGTCCCGTAATCTAATCAGTTAAATCATCAAAGTTGACAGGTCTTTCTGATAATCAAAGCGACCGCTCGGTTAACCATTTACACCTTCAGTGCGAAGAGTGTCACAAAAACATTAGATAGATAGATAGATAGATAGATAGATAGATAGATAGATAGATAGATAGATAGATAGATAGATAGATAGATAGATAGATAGATAGATAGTTTATTAATAACCGATTTGCAACTAAAAGTTGAATTATACGATTATTTACAAAAAAATTGGAATATATAACAATTATAATATAAAACAATTACCGAGGCCGCGAAGCGGCGAGGTAAATATCCAATACTAGCCACCGACACTGAGGTGAATAATTGTTTTAGTCTATACTAAAACAGTGAGATAATTGAGCACAAAAAAGATGATTTTTAACTCATTTACTGTTGCCAACGATTACAATTTTGCCGCGCGATGCCCGAACGGCCGCGGTCGTCGCTTTTTCTTAGCGACAAATAAAACTTTTGAAGGCGTTTGTTTAGCTCTTGCGGGGAAGTTTCTTTGAAAGGAGTTGTGAATTCTTTTTGTATTTAAAATAATTCTGTAAAAAAAGATTATTCAATTTAGTTTTAAGCTTATTTATGAACAAGTCAACTAAATAAAGTAACGCAAGACTTAAGCTTAATTTGCATTTGTAAACAAAAAACTTTTTCACCGGTTTTATCGATAAATTCAAGTCAAAAACACAAAAAGCTTTACCTGTTAAAACTTCCAAACCGAACTTCGTCACCTTCTTCATGTATTTCGGAAATAGCTTTCTTGATTAGTTGTGAAATTTCTTAGTTTGTTTCGGCAGCAAACCGGGAAGGCATTTTGCTCTCAACCTACGCGAGTTTGGCGCCGCTCGTTCGGAGAAACTGGAGGTGAATCAGTGAATAGTGTAGGATATTCACTGATTGAGTAGCTAACCAGAGCGCGCGAAAAACACTATCCACTGTTTTAGTATATACTAAACATAATTACATTAAAAAGACTACAAGTGATTTAAAACAGCAAATAAGGACACTATATATACGTTCTAAAAATATATATATAGAAGAGGCTTAAAGAATCTACTAAAACTGTTCAAGCCTTAAGGGCGTTAAAGGTAATAAAACTACTAAGAAACCTGTTCGTCTTAAAAGCTGGCTTAAACTTCCGCATATTTCTTAGGTTAAAGGTACATGTGTTGCGAGCAGGAAGAAGTTCATGGAGCTTGTTCTGTTCGTTCTGTAAAACATTCTTAAATAGTTTATCAACTACTTCTTGGCGGCGGTCTGAAAGTTTAGTTAGGCCTTATTCAACCAAGGCCTCATTATATGAGCAAAGAGGAAAAATGATGCGCATAGCCCGCTTTTGTACTCCTTCAAGTTCGTTGGAGAGGTACACGGGGAGGCCGTCATGAAAGACAGGACACGCGAACTCTGTGATCGGACGAATACAAGTTCAGAGAAACTGGACTAACTCACGGGTACCAAGACCAGAGCGTTTAAGCTGAGATAAGGTATACATGCGCCTTTTAGCTTTCTTAATAATGGAGTCAATGTGACAATTCCATTTCAAATCATTGGAGATGTTAAGGCCTAGTATTTTGGCACTAGTAACTAAATCAATAGGCATGCCATTAACAACAACTGGATCGAAAGAAGTAGGGTTGTTAGTGTTAAAGTTTATAAGCAGTTCTTTGCATTTCGTCTCGTTTAGTCTCGGTCGCACGGCTTGCTAGGGTGTCAACAGCAGCTTCAATGTGATTGTCTGGGTTCCTGCTTATCGTCTCCGAAATAGTGGTATCATCGACATACTTCCAGAGATCAGTGCCAGGAACATCCAGCTCGTTAATCATGATGATAAACAGCCACGGCCCTAGTTTTGTTCCTTGAGGAACCCCCGCTGGGACCGCGCCCCATTCTGAAAAGCAGTCGTGGCCGAGTTTAACACGCTGTTTGCGCGAGGTGAGATAGTCGGTAATCCATGAGATGACAGCATCAGGGATGTTATATTAATAACACCTTCAGCATAATCGCTATACTGTAACAGTGGTAGGTCGCGCGCGTCTGGTCGGTTTTAAAGAACTTGATCGTGACCGTTGTTTTCATTCAGTGGCTGTGCACGTTGATATGCTAACGTTTAAACCAGACTGGAACATAAAACATTTTGTTGTTTGCAAAGAGGCCGCTGAGTAGAAACTAAACTGTCCCAAAGTATTCCGTTTCATTCGTATACGTTTATTTTAATGGGGTCTGTATGATTGTATGATGAATTTACTACACGCAGGTAAACAAGATCGAGATTTAAAACATTTCGTTTTGCTTTGGTGGAGTAAATTTATTTTCAAAAAGTCTAACCGGTAAACCACTTCCTTCGCGTACTTGTAAAAATGAGCATTTAATACGTCGCGCTAAGGTGCTAAAATTTTCTTGTCGTGTATTAGATTTCAGTATACATATTGTTAATCTACATTTCGCGCCAGAATAAATTAGTTTGCGCGCAAAGGGCTTCTAAAAAAATCACAAGGTTTGTCCCACTTCTAGTCCACCTTCTGGAGATACGCCGGCTTGGTAGCTGGAATACATTACCGAGGCGAAGATCTGACATTTTTTTCCTCCTCGTCGTTTTTTCCCCAGGACATTTGTTTATATTTGTAGAGAGAATCCACTGCATATCAGTGGATTTTAATTCATGCGGCTTGCTACTTATGAACTGAAAAGAGTGCCGGATTCGCTTTGTTCGCCTTTAATTCGTTTCGAATTCGTTGTCGAATGCAAGGCAAAAGAACGGACTATTGTAAGGTAAGAATTGAAGTTTAAATATGTTTCCCGGCGAAAATAGTGCACAGATTTCGTGAAACCCTAGGGGCACCCAACGAGAATATAGTTCAAAACCACTTAAACA